TAGAGAGAAGCGGAATGTAGCTGATAAGTCACTCTTTCATTTCTAGCACCCTTGCTAAATGTTTTCTTTTTCAAACTATTCTCTAAGTACATGTCTTTTGGCAATGCTGATTTAAAAAAAAAATGTGTCAAAACACTTTTTCAGTGACTTTGGCTCCCAATGTAGAGGTGGGTTTCTTTAAACTCATGAATGCAAGAAATAATTCTAAGGAGTTTGTTTTGTGTGTTCAGTGTCTGCAACAAAACACTTTTTAAAGCATGTTTCCTTCAACACTCCAGTGTGGAGCTGAAAATAAAATGAAACACATGAACATGCTAGAAACAGCAGTGACAGTAAAGGCATGTTCTCTTTCCAGGCACCTAGCAAGCTTAGCAGACATTCTCAACACATATTATTTCAAGTTTACTGTGTAATAAAAAAAATCCTTTAAATCCATTAGGCATACAAGCCACGATCTAGGATAAACCTTCTTCAGAAAGCCAAAATAAAAGTGTCAAAAGACTAAGCTACTGTTTGAGGAACACTTCGTGAAAGAAAAAGACTCGTTGTTTTCAGGGGAGTTACTGTATGTGTTGATAGTTCACAATTCTGATAGCATGAGCAGTAACTCCTACCGGATGAGGCTTTCCAATATCAACCTAGGCTAAGTAGAGCATTCATCTTTTTTCTGTCGAAGGATTGCTTTTTTCAGTGCAAAGAAAAACAAAACATCCTTTCAAAAGGTTAGCATGTTAAATTGTCAAAACAGTGTCATGATTCACTTATAATACATCTGATACATATTTACATCCTATACAAAGTTTACACTCTTTTTTTCCCATTAGGCACAAAGTTGATTTGTCAAACTCAATAGCAAATGGAAGAAAATCCTTTTTTTAAAAAAATGTCTGAAGCAGAGTTGTTGGTATCTCTTTAGAAGACCAGCCATCTCATTCATCGTAAGCTTGTCTGTTTGGGAAGCTTAGCTCCCATTAGGATGCCGGGTGTTAACGTTGATGGCCCTTTCATCTGCATGCTGGAACCCACCATAGTGGGGAAGCTTCGGTTCCTTCTAATGCCACTGTTCAACTGAATGCCCCCAATACCACTCGTTACAGAAGGACAACCCAAGGGCAGGCCTTCTGGCATCAGGCCTCCTGGAGCAAAGGCTTTCACTGGCCTTTGTGCCCCACAAAGAAGAGGTCCCTGTTCATCAGTTAGCGGAGGAGCTTGTGTTTGCCCTGAGCTAACTACTTTGGCAATTCCAAACCTCTTTACTTTATCTACTAGGTTAAGGTTAGAGACGGACACATCAGTCTGGCTCTCAATGTTCCTGATGTTCTTTTTATCCCTCACCTCCTTTAGAATGGAACTGGCCGGCTTGGAAGCCAGGAAGTTGTCATAGGGGGGACTCGTGCATTTGAATTCAAAGGATGGTGGGGAAGAAGAGGGTGTCTGCATAGGTGAGTTGGGAGGAGTGGAGGGAATGGCAGCCATTTTGGGAGAGTATGTGCTCAGGAGGGTGCCCCTGCCAGCTCGGTCCCAACTCTGCGGGTTGTACACTGCTGCCGATATCCCCCGCTCCTTGAGTAGCCACACAAGCCCCAAAGATGTGCTCATAGTAGTTGTGGACTCCCGAAGGTTAGTGAAGGACTCTACCAAACTCAGACGCCGAGGAGTGCAAGGGGTAGCCACTGGGGTGCCCTTCAAACTGCCAATGCTGCTACAAGCTGGAGTAGGTGCTGCATTAAGGCTGGGGGTGGAAAAAGCAGAAAGTTGAGAGTTAATGCCTCTACTACAAATTCCAGTTTCAAATTAATTAAGAATGTTTGAGAGACATACAGATTTGCTACCCCTTTAAAAATGACATATAAGAGCCTTCATACACATCCATATCCGTTTTATTACACAAAGGACAGTGTTAAAAGACTACACTCGTCCAGGATGGCTGGATTAATGATTCTTCACCCGAGATTCTCAAGCATGCTTTGAATGCAGTTCATTCTTCTAGTAGACCATATTCCTGCAAACACTTTTTGACCAGTAAGAAAGGGTGGGTGAGATAAGCCAATGTTCCTGCAAATGCATTTTAGCTATTATGGCAAATAGTTAACAGCCTACTAATACCACCATAGCTGTTTCAAAAGAAACTAACAAGACATGAACAAGGTTGTGCCTTCTATCTTAGCATTACAGTGTATCACAGAAGTGAGTACACCCCTCACATTTTGAAAATATTTTATTATATCTTTTCACGGGACAACCCTGAAAAATTACACTTTGCTACAATGTAAAGTAGTGAGTATACAGCTTGTATAACAGTGTAAACTTGCTGTCCCCTCAAAATAACTCCACACACACCCATTAATGTCTAAACTGCTGGCAACAAAAGTGAGTACACCCCTAAGTGAAACTGTCCAAATTGGGCCCAAAGTGTCAATATTTTGTGTGGCCACCATTATTTTCCAGCACTGCCTTAACCCTCTTGGGCATGGAGTTCACCAGAGCATCACAGGTTGCCACTGGAGTCCTCTTCCATTCCTCCATGACGACATCACAGAGCTGCTGGATGTTAGAGACCTTGTGCTCCTCCAACTTCCGTTTCAGGATGCCCCATAGATGCTCGATAGGGTTTATGTCTAGAGACATGTTTGGCCAGTCCATCACCTTTACCCTCAGCTTCTTTAGCAAGGCAGTGGTCATCTTAGAGGTGTGTTTGGGGTCGTTATCATGTTGGAATACTGCCCTGCGGCCCAGTCTCTGAAGGGAGGGAATCATGCTCTGCTTCAATATGTCACAGTACATGTTGGCATTCATGGTTCCCTCAATGAACTGTAGCTCCCCAGTGCCGGCAGCACTCATGCAGCCCCAGACCATGACACTCCCACCACCAGGCTTGACTGTAGGCAAGACACACTTGTCTTTGTACTCCTCACCTGGTTGTTGCCATACACATTTGACACCATCTGAACCAAGTAAGTTTATCTTAGTCTCATCAGACCACAGGACATGGTTCCACTAATCCATGACCTTAGTCTGCTTGTCTTCAGCAAACTGTTTGCGGGCTTTCTTGTGCATCATCTTTAGAAGAGGCTTCCTTTTGGGACAACAGTCCTGCAGACCAATTTGATGCAGTGTGTGGCTTATGGTCCGAGCACTGACAGGCTGACCCACCACCCCTTCAACCTCTGCAGCAATGCTGGCAGCACTCATACGTCTATTTCCCAAAGCCAACCTCTGGATGACACTGAGCACGTGCACTCAACTTCTTTGGTTGACCATGGCAAGGCCTGTTCTGAGTGGAACCTGTCCTGTTAAACTGCTGTATGGTCTTGGCCACTGTGCTGCAGCTCAGTTTCAGCGTCTTGGCAATCTTCTTATAGCCTAGGCCATCTTTATGTAGAGCAGGGGTCTCAAACTCAACTTACCTGGGGGCCGCTGGAAGTAGTTTGGGTGAGGCTGGGCCGCATCAAGCGGTGGTGGTGGACTGCTCATCCTGCGTTGCTCCCGGAGGCCGGCCCAGGCGCCACTGGCGCTTTGAAGGCCACAGGGCCCCTCCCCCGTGCCCTGCCCGTCTCGGCAATTGGCCCGCAGGCCGCGAGTTTGAGACCCCTGATGTAGAGCAACAATTCTTTTTTTCAGATCCTAAGAGAGTTCTTTGCCATGAGGTGCCATGTTGAGCTTCCAGTGACCAGTATGAGAGAGTGAGAGTGATAACACCAAATTTAATACACCTGCTCCCCATTCACACCTGAGACCTTGTAGCACTAATGAGTCACATGACACAGGGAGGGAAAATGGCTAATAATGCCCAATTTGGACAGTTTCACTTAGGGGTGTACTCACTTTTGTTGCCAGCGGTTTAGACATTAATGGCTGTATGTTGAGTTATATTGAGGGGACAGAAAATTTACACTGTTATACAAGCTGTATACTCACTACTTTACATTGAAGCAAAGTGTCATTTCTTCAGGGTTGTCACATGAAAAGATGTAACAAAATATTTACAAAATGTGAGGGGTGTACTCACCTCTGTGATATACTGTAGCTGCAATAAAAGCTGTACTTGTTTTAAAGAAGGGACTGGTAATTTGTGGCCCCTCCAGGTTTTTTGGCTTACAACTTCCATAAGCCCTAACCAGTGTATATAATGGTGAGGGACCATGAGAGTTCTAAGCCAAAACATCTGGAGTGCCACCAGCTGATTACCCATGTCCTAAAGTGTGGTTTAGTAAAGAAGATTACATGTGATTCTAAAAACACCATTGTCTTTAAGCACATGAACAAATGCTGTTCAGAGAATAAATGCTCTGAAGGCCAGAGCTGTGTTAAATTCAAGCTTCCATTACTGATCACTTCAAGATTTGAACAGCAGTCATGATGGATCAGAGCAAGGGTACATTTAGTCCAGCATCCTGTTCATTTAGTGGCCAATTGCCTGTAGGATGGCATGTTCAAAGCCATCCTCCTGTTCATGTTCCCCAGACAAATGATATACAGAGATAGTATATCTCCATCATGACTAGTTGCAATGTATAGGCATTCTTCACCTGGCACTCTCCAGACATTTTGGACCACAACTCCCAGGATTCCTCATCACTGGCCATACTGGCTGGGACTGAGGAGAGTTGTAGTCCATGCAACTTTCTTGTGGGAGGGTGGTAACATTAAACTTACGGTTGAAGAAAAGAAGAGAATAACGGACATGAGTAGATAGATATGTTACCTTAGCTTGTATCCCCATTATATACAGAAGGTCTATTTTCTATATAAAATGGGACAGCAACATCTGTAAAGAAGTTTGCAATTTCTAGCATTCAATATCAACTAATTTTTCTTTAACCAACAATAAAAAGAAAACCAAGCAATCAAACCAAGTATTTGTGTAGAAACCTGAGGCATCAAAGATGAGCTTTTGATACCTCAGCCAAAGAGGGGTGCCTACTATTAGTGGGATTACAAGCTTTCTGCTTCTCACACCATGCAGTTTCTAATTAATTGAGGAAACAATGACATTCAACACATTCAATTATATAATAACTATTAACCTTCAGATTACTCTTCTTTTGTAAAGTTGCCATGCTTAATGGGCATTAACCTTAAATCACAGGAAAGGGATAAATCTCCTTATTTCTCATCATCTCCAAGCAAACTCCAAGCAACAAACAGGTCAGTACTAACAAACAAACAATACTATTCAGAAATCAGTCACATTAAAAAATGCAAAACAGACAAGACACATTCTAAAATGCATGCAGGTTTATCTAAATGCTCAGTCAATTCTATTAGTCACAATAACTACAGAACTTGCTTTTCTTTTCCCAGATTGCAGATTTTTTCCTTTAAAAGTGAGTTTTCTGCTGTCAAGACATTCCGATTACAATGGTAACATAGTAATTCCTGTCTAGCAGAGCATGAATTATAAGGTTCTCCTAAGTCTTAAAATTCAGAAACCAAACACACACATCTTCAGTAAGGATACCTGCAGCAAAACAAAATAAAATCCCTCACGAAAACCAATAGCAACATTTAAAATGATGTTAATGAGTTCCTGACTTTGATAATTCCTATTTTTTTTAACTTTGTAAGCTATTTCTACTAGATAAATTGGTGAAAATTCACTTTGTGAGATAAAAGAGGTCCCTAGTGTAAGCAGTGTCAAGGGGATGGTTCATACTGAAGTTCTCCTGCACAGATAACAGCTATGGGAACCAAGCTGAACACAGATACAGCTGGTAGCAATTCTTATACCATCAGTTGTTACATCATAATGAGCACAAAAATTCACTGGGTTCATATCCAGTAGTGGCATATATGCTAACATTTTTGCTCCTGACTGGTAGACGGGAGGAAAGTAGTTGTTCAAATATAAAAGACCTTTTATGGAAACACTGCTAGTTTTTTGAAGGATTCACAGCTGCTCATGTTTAGCTTGATAAGAAGAATGATTCGTGTATCTTAATCAGGATAATGTATTCAGTGGATGCTTATTCCTAAATTGTTTGCACAAGTTTCTCATAATTAATGGCACAGGATGTCTTTCCTGTACACAACTAATTACCAAAATAGCATCATATTATTTACAGGCTTCACAGACTAAAGTGCCACGGAGAATCTGAATGACCAGTGTTCTGTAAGGATCTGTAATGAATGAGGAAATACTAGCCTATCAAGGGCTATAGAATTAAGCTTGGCCACTATAGCTAAAAAAAGTAGTTTTCTGTATTGCAACTAAATGATGCATTCTTATCACACTGTGTATAAATGTGTATACAGTACACATTTCGCAAAGAAACGAGGGAGGACCTTCTCTGTAGCCACTTTCTGGCTGTGGAATGTCCTACTGACAGAGGTCAAGTTGGCCCCTCCTTGATCTACCACCAGCAGCTGGTACATGCATTTTTATGTAGCAGGCATGTGGGCTGACTAGTGGATGAAGGTGTTTTAAACTGACTGGTGTTTGTTTCTTCATGTTTTGCACTCAGTTGTTTCAATCTGAATTAATTTTTAATCTGAATGTTATTATGAGCTGCCTTGAGTGCTATTGTTGTCAGGAAGGCAGTATATTAAACAAATATGCAGATTAAGCCTAACAGATTCATACAGAAGATCCCAAACCACTGTGTTGTTATCCACACTATCTTTGAAAATGCAGGTCAAAGTGCATAGGCCTAGCAGAAGTATTGATATAAAAGACAATTCCACACATTAGCAGTCACAGAAGACCAAGATTGGAACTGTGCAGTTGTTTAGGGATGTTCTGTAAACATGCAGCTTAAGAACTTATTTTATAGGTTAAACAAGTCTGAGGAAGAATTCCAGGTTCTTGACAAGTTTTGAAAATGAAACAAACTATGTCAGATTGACTGGGATAAGGGATCAGTTTGAAAAACTGGTTCCACATGCAGAACGAGCTGTCTTATTTTGAGCAAACTATGTGAGTTTTAAGTCACTGTGTAAAGCTGTTCTAAGAAAAGCAAAGAAGTAAAGCCTACAGAATCTGAAAAATAAATTAATCTTGTCTTGAGTCTTCACAAGAACCTGTTCCCTGATGTGCTGCAGATGTTTCCACATGTGTTCTTGTACTGTACACCTGTATCCAGTTGCTAGTTCAACCAGCAAGTTTGGCTGAGAGTACGATAAATGACATTTATCTGTGAACCACTGGTTTGATATGGGAACTGTGGTGGAGGCCACGAGGAATAGCGACATCACTGCATCATGCACAGTGAGGAGAAAAAAATGGAGAGCACTGCATTTTCCCTTTGGGCATACAGACATGTGGTGATTCCACATGCTTATCCACTGACATATCCACCTCACAGTGCTATACACCATTACAAACTGCTGCCAGTTTTTGTGACATGTGAAATCACTACACAGGACAAGAAATAAAATGCATGAGAACATCTTTATGTGATCATGCACACATGCATGAATGGTTAGAACAATTACTTAACAATCCTCCCCTATGCACAATAATTTCCTATGTCAAAGCATTAGTCCCTACTGCATCTTGTGCAGGTATTTCAGTAGCTTCTGTATTCCCTGGCCTTGTGCACAAAGCAGTCCTTTGTACACAAGGCCAATGTAAAATAATCAGCTAGTAAGCTCCAGTGGGAGCCATTGGTTTGTCACACTCTACAGTGAAGGTACTATAAGGTAACAGAGCAGGTGAGGAGAAGAGCTACTGAAATATCAATTTGGCCAGGTTTAAAAGGTCCTGGAGTTGGGCTGGCAGGCAAAAGTGCGCAGCTACATAAAAAATGTCAGAGCAGCAGCAATTATTGCTAAGGAACTCTTTGACCTCAGTAACACTACTACATAGTTTCACATTTAGAAGAAAGTTGACAGGTGCTCTTGCTTTAAGAAGGGAGCCATGGGATCTAAATAAGTAGCTATACAAGGAGCCTTGGGATACCCAAACTCTTGTATTTTCAGATTTGGGACTTGAAATACATCATTAAGTTGCAGGCAACAGATGATGTGTACGCTTTCAAAAAAACAGTAGGCTATCTTGCGATCAAAGCTTCATGCAGGGAAGCAGAACCAGCTTAAGATGGGTGGGGGGAATCTCTGCACCTTGCCCCTCCATGGCTCTGATGATGTGGCTGTGGCTATGCCCACTTATGTCAGCACCTCCCGTTTTTACTTGCTCTGTGCCTCTCATACAATAGAGGAGGAGTCTCAGTAGCCCCTGGTGCCAAAGCTAGCTGAGCCAGGCACGTATCTCTCACCCTCCCATTCAAGGGCAGTGAGGGGCACAGGAAAGAAGCTACAGCCACTTCTGGGACACGTGACTGCACCTTCTAACATGAGTTAAATTCCATGCAGTCAAGTGTCCCTATTGTCATTTCCAATCTGAGATAATAGTGGAGATTCCTGTAGGGGCAAGGCTTGGAGGCCAAGCTTACTCTCTGCCGGAACCCACAAAAACTTCATGGGCTGTAAAGTCTCTATTTCTGTGTGGTGAATGCAAGCAGCCAATGAGGAAATGTATGGGACCAGAAATAGTTTTCCATTTGATCTAGTATATGAATATTTTTATGGGTGTCTTGCCTTAAGGTGTATATCTACTGAGGATCTATAGTGCTGTATGTACAGAGCAACTCACAATGATTTTGTACATTGGTCTACTCTCTACCCTATTCTTTATTGATAAATGGTCTCTAAATTTGCCCCTAAATGGCCCATGCTGTTTAGAAGGTGCCTGCAAAGGGTTTTACAGTTGGGTTAGAGAAAGATTGGCTACACAAACTGGATACATCCAGTCACTGGATACATCCAACTGGGAATGGCTTCAGGGAAAGGGAGGATTTTATTCTGGGAAGAATACTTATTCTTGTGAAATTAACATTTGCGACAGCTCCTCCACCATTCCTTCTAGGCTTCATTTACTAAACTACCATCTCTGTGTGGTTTTTTGTATGCAAACATTCAGATTTAATCAACTGGAGCTACTACAGTGAAATTAGGTATAAACATAAAGAAAAGACATGTGGAAACACTGGTTCACACAAACATGAACTTGTATCTCTTAGCATGCGAGATGTTGTGTGTTTTAAGTGTGGCATACACTATCACCTGTCACAGACCCTTTCTGACCTTTGTCAACAGTGATCTGTTATTAAAGTTTCAAGACCTCTATGGGTAGTAAATTATTGTACTCATAAATTGCCATTTAGAAGGATAAACGTGTTTCAAACTCATAAATGTTCAGTTCTGGAGGATTCATTATTTACCGGCACAACAGATTAGGAAAGGTTTGCTTTTAGTTATCAGGGGCACCTAAACTTTGTATTTCTTGTGCTTCCTTCTCAGTTGCCATGCTCCTTGGAAGCAATAACAGATGTTGCCTGTAAGCCCCCTCTGTCTGAGGGTGTGTTTTTTGCACGCGTTCTTCTCCAAATAGTAAATACATCAGTGTTGTTGACTAAAAGACAGGCTACTGATTTCAGATTACTGTGACGACTATACTCAAACTCAAGTTGACTCACAGGCACTTGGTGGGGTGGACGCCAAATGTTATAATGACTAGTAACAGGCCCTTTACTAACAAGAGAGCCTTGTTAGGGGGAAGAGGACAGGGTAGGCAAAATATGTTCTCAGAACAAAACAAAAAATGAGGCGTTCCCTCCCAAGAAAAGCCTTGTGCCTCAGAATTAGTGGTTATTAGATTCTAAAGCATGAACTTTGCTACATGGAATTTAGAATTTTGGTTAGGTCAGCTTGTGTTAGGATGTTAGATTAGGATGGAAAGTGTGGGAGGACGGGGATCGTAAGAAACCTCTGAGTTAGCTGGTGCCACAAACTCTAGCATTCCTTCTATAGGACGCTGCTAGCATACAGGTTGCTGGCAGTGCTGCTCACCCCCTGTCACGGTGGTCATATTGTGTGCCCTACATCTCCTCTCAGCATAAGGTGACATAAAGCAGTTTCATCGTCTTCCTCACATGACCTGTGAAGAAGCATCATTCATAGTGTAAGGTACTCCTCCTCTCCACAACTTTGTACTGACAACACTTGGGTGAGTCTTCTTGCAACTTGATGTTCTGAACCACAACTGCCAGCATACCCCCCAAAAGCTATGCTGGGAGTTATGATTCAACACACCTGGAAAGCACCAGGTTGAGGAAGGCTGAGATTCCAAATTGACAATGAAGGCTGAAGTAGTCAATGCCAGCCCATTAGCTAAATCTAGTCACAGTTAACTGGCGTATAGGAATGAGTTCACTTTGGTAACAAGCAACAGCTTACAGGCATATTGAACAGCACATTAAGTATGTCTGGATTTTATGCAAGAGGCATTCCCAAAGTCTCAGCAACGATACTGGAAAAGGAAACTGTGGTTGAATCTTTCTTTTGCTTTGTTTTCCCAGCACTTCATGCCATTGGCAAATCTGCTGTATGAGGTTGGGCGAAACCAGAAATGGAAGAGCCAAACACAGCCTATATAAAGGAAACTATATTAAATCCTCCAGGTGGTGAGGGTTAAGAAGGCATTCAAAATACTACATCATTTTAAACCACAACAAATGGGACCGACAATAAAAAAGCTGGAAAGTGGAATGCTCCTTTTTAGTGTTCCAGCCAGCAACATCTTGTCCAGAGTACTCAATTTCCCCACAGTATTCTCCCCTACCCCGCATCCAACCTTTTGCCAAAAGATACTCAGTATTGCTCACTTCTTGTTGGACTATTCTGAATCTTCTTTGCCTTCTTAGTCTGCTGCTCCCAAGATTATTTCCTACTACTTGAAATCTGGGGTTTCCCCCAAGCATGTCAATATCTTCTCCATACTTCCACTTAGGCTACCAATCCATCGTAACTTAGTCTCTGAGTTTCCTATTAGTGCTGCCATACTAAATACTACCAAACTGAAATCCACCATACCTTGGGGCAAATCACAAGCTCTTTGAATATGGGTTAGTTAATTTATAGCACATTTGGTCACTGTTATAATTTATCAGTGGGAACATTAAGGCAAAGAAAAAATACTCTTCGTTAGCTTAATTGATATAAATTTCTATATCTAATTTCCAATGTAGAAAATGAAACCTACCAATACATTAACCCTTTATGTGTTGTCCAAGTGCTGTTCAACTGCAACAAAGCTATCAATCCCTATTGTTATACAACCAACTCTTTGATGTTGTTATACGAGTTCTTTAAATCACATGCTCCATTTCAAAGAGTCATACACATTTATTGTATGGAGCCTGAAAAGGGTTATCCTACACAGTTAATTTAAGAGATGGCTGCAACACTGTCATATTTCTTTTTGGCCTTAAAAAAATCTTCTGAGTTTTGCTCTGAAGAATTCCCCTCCTACTGCAGTCTTTGAAGATTCTTTCATACTCAGGTGTCACATTAACTTTCAGCTTAAAGGCTGCATTCAGTTTCAGAGACACTCTCAAGGACCACACATTCCAGTGATGGACAAGATGAAGAACAAAAGGGACAGGGCCAAGTCACAGAAAATACCAACACATTGTAGCTTTAAAACTTTAGTGCCTGTAACAAATGCTTTGAAGAGCCATTTCAACTTTTATCATTGGGAAAAAAACTGCAGGAAACCAACAAACCATCAGGGAAAGGAGGTGGGGCAAATGGAAAGTGGCACGTCCATCTGAGGACCCCTGGAAGACTGGATAAAGACCGTAAGAGGGGCAGATTTGGCCTGCAGACCTGGCTTCCCCACAACTGCACTAATGTACAACGGAAAAGTATATTCAGATACTTCTGTAATCTGTTCAGAGAATCCTCAGTCTAATTTAATGTGGGATATAAAATAAATATTTGGGGGGATATTTTTGACCTTTGTATTGTTATTAATACATATCCACTGGCCTTTAACTGACTCTGAGGTATGTAGTGATATGAATCTTCTGATAATCCTTATTCCACATACATGGAAAAAACTAATGGGAACTGCACTTACATGGAACCACCTTTTAAAATTATAAGCAGCATTTGAATTTGTGTTAAGAGAGTGCATTGCTCATGTTTTGCCTGTATGAGCTACAGGAGACATAAATTAGATTTATATTGTACAACTCTAGGGTAGTTTTAGCGATATTAAGCACTATGGATACATAAGATAATGTAGTGAGATATTCTGAAATAGTGGAAAGTTTAGATGGCACAGAACCATGAGATCATAAGATCATCAGCATTCTGAACCCCCTAAACTCCCCACCAGATTACCCCACTGACAAATTATCATTGTTAAAATCTTCTTGCCTTCTTGGCTACACAAAGGTTTTCCTCCTCCAGGGAGAGACAATAGCTCTCTGGAACTCCTTACCTTGGAGTGACTCGTGTGAGCTCATCGGAAGGGTGTAGAATGCGGCAGGTGGTGAAGGTGAAGGTGGAGTTGGTTTGTGACATGCACTTCCCAGGATGATGTACTACATTAAAAAAATAGAATATTCTTTGCATTTATATATATAAAAAAGCAAAAGAAAAGTTCAGTGTACTCAAACAGATGGAAAAGCAAAGTGATACTTCAAATGGGATCTATGAAAGGAAGGCAAATTGCACAATATTTCTGAATTGCTTTAGCTTTATCTGTTCAGCACTGCAATGTCTACAGAGAGTCTAGCTTGTTCTTCACTGGTATGGAGTAGAGATAAAATTTCAGATTGTTGAAAAAATGTGTGATTGTATTCCAAAGAATAGCCCTACACATTTCAGCCTTACATACAGCTGTCTTCTTCAGGGGGTCAGTTTTAATATATATAAATGCCTATAGAAGTCTCAGAAAATGAGTCTCCAATTAGTCTCTTCTTTCTTTGCCCTCTGAGCATGTAATAAAACAGCAAAACAATTTGGAAGCACTGATGTGTCAACACTGACACCCAGGTTCTCTGCATGTCAGCATTGCCCCAGTGAATACATAGTTAATTCTCAGCTGATTCTCTGTTCTCCCATGATGGCATACGATGGAGCCGTGGATGGGCAGTAGCTATCACTCTTCAAAAACTGGCCCTACTATCCTTTTCTACATTTGCACTTTTCTGATGCTCATGGTAACACCCGCAAAAAAATTAAATGGCACATCTACTCTATGAACAAGTCTATAAAGCATCTAAAAAGAAATCTGCAAGATCCAGAATGTTCACACATTTTACCTTCCTCCATTCTGATCCATGAAAAAGTATCCCATTTTGCTTCAATAACGGATCCTACTGGAGCAGCAGCCATTTTAGGGTATGTGCATAACAGCACCTCTCTATGTGTATGTTCACAGATTTCGGCATCACCAGTTTAGATCCACTATTGTCCACCTGTGGCATTTCCTTGCCTTATCACCTCCTCCCAAATGAAATACAGAAAACCTGCAGCTACACCAGATAGCAATCATTAATTTAAAAAATATTCTAACTTGGAAAGCAAAAGGAGAAAAGTAATTCCTTTTTGTGATACTCCAATAAGACATTTAGGTCCTCGCATCAGAGATTTTAGAATTCAATTATAATTTACTTAATGCGTTCTTATTTTGTTTTTATAAATTGCTATCTAGTGCATTTGCAGAATGCAAGTTGGAACTGGCCATAAAGTATGTCATGCTGTTCAAGTGTCTCTGAAACCCCACCCTACATTTTAATGTAATGCGTGTTTTCATTTACAATATGAAAATATGCATTTGTACTTTGTGAAGCCTAGAAAGAAGTCAAAGATATGGAAGAAAGTGCTGTTTAGCTCTTTACTATCTTAGCTCAACAAATTTGATCCAGACTTCAACTAACAGGTTTATATTCATGGAACAGATCTTGGCTCACCTTTCCCCTTGTATATCTGCTCCACAAAGTTGAGAGACCCTCCAAAATAGCACTGGAAATGATACAGGAAGCTGCTGGAGGCATCTGAGAAAATCTCTCACCCATATCTGTTTGCAGAATTCTCCAGTGAATCTAAGCCTTTCTGAGAATGGAAGGAGTCCTCCTTTTTATGGAAGGGCACTTGGAAATCCAATCCATTGTTAGTATTCAATAGCCTTAGGAATCATACTGTTTTCCTTACACATGAATCTTAATTTAATTTAAACCATTTAAAACCTAATTTAAATCATTAGAGGAGCCTTTACCTGGAACAGCTTCCCCAACCAGGTTTGGGATTTCAACATACCCCAGCAAGCATGGCCAAGGCTAGGAATTGTTTTCCAAAGCTTCTGGAGGTTGGCTGGTTGGGGAAAGGTAACCTGGTGAATCAAGGTAAAGCAGCAGTCTATATGATCTTCTTATGTTTTACTTCTTTCACCAACTTAGCTTGTACACCAGAGGTTAGCCTACCTGTTAATAGAAAGTCTAGCCTCAGTTATCTTTCCTGGTAGCCTCTACATTAGACCTCAATAATGCATTATACATAGAGCTGCCCTCTGAAGATAGTTTAGAAACTGCATTTAATTCAAAATACAGCTGTGACTGAAAGTTAGGGTCACATTACACCTATGCTTTCCCACTGCATTGGCTCTCAGTTTGTTTCTAGGCTCAATTCAGACTATTCATTTTGGAACCAGGATATGCAAAAAAAGCCACATGTGCTAGCTCATACACCAGGTTCTTCAAAACGGAGACTTCTTTGGCTGCCCCATCATCTATGAAATGACAGGCAATATCAGAGAAAGAACCTTCCTTGTGGTGGCACCTTAACCATGAAATGTGCTCTACATGGGTGCCTGCCTGTTATCTATTTTGATGTAATTTCAGCACCAGGCATAAATACTCTTTATTTTTCGAGGCTTTTAAATTTGACATATTCTACCTTGGTCCAATGCTTTGATACTGTTCTGAATATGTTTTATTCTTGTTAACCAATTTATAGTGGTTTCTCAAATTGTGTTGTTTTAATTTGTATTTATGTTAATTTTAATTACTAAAAACATACTGGAGAATAGACAGTCATATGTAAAGAAGAGCAGGAAACAAGATGGTCAAGAAATGCTTCTATCAGAGTCTTGTGACCACCAGAGTATAATGGGGAAGCAAATGCATGAGGGGCACCACAACACATTACACAATAAGACAAGACAGCGTACAGGTTAAGCATGGGCTGAATGTGGGTTTTCATTAAACTGTGTGTCGCTGTTGATTTACAGGTCTTTCTGTTTTGACAACCCAGCCATGCCAACAAACCATGTCTTTTAAATCATTAACAGCCCATAAAGAGAGCACATAATGTGTTTTTGGGTTGTGAACTGTGGGCTGATCATGGTTCATAAACTATGGCCTGTTAACAGAACACAACCCACTATTCAACAACAACCCACACTCAATCCATACTCTGGCTTGATGTGTTGTATGGATGAGATCAACAGTATCCTTTCCCACAATCTTTGTCATGTCGTTGTAATTGTGCTAATGCTTTCCCTTTCAACATGAGACATACTTTATGGATAGCTCCTTTGTTGCAAAGCAATTCAGAAACTCAAAGGTCATGCATCCAAAATGCTCACTGAAGTATGAGCCAGTGCTAAGTATTCTACAGCAAAGATATCATGATTGCATAGGTGCTCCTACTGGATAAGCAGGATTTAATCAGTTACTGCTGTTAAAACATGCAAAAGAAACATGCCAGTAAGTTTTCCTCCTCTTCCTCCTCCTCTCAATACTGAACACATTTCCAAAGTGAGGATTCTACTTTAGCATGACAGGAAATGCATAACAGTTTGACATACAATTGTGCAAATACATCACAACCACGGGCCACTCCAAACCTGCAGAGTGGCTGGGAAATACATGTTATAGTTATAGTTCCTCTTTGATTTGAGACAAAAGAAAAAACCTCACAAGACTTGTGTATAGCCATGCATAGTAACTGCACATATGAAAGTGGGAGAATGTGACAAAGCTGTCTGTGGAGGTGAAAAGTGACTCGAAATGCAGCTCATTTTCCCTCTACTAAAATGATGGCTGAGTGCAATCTAGTCTATGAATGGTTAACTCACCAATATCAGTAATTAAAAAAAAAATCTACATCAACAACTGATGATGCTGATGCTTAGATTAATGTGAGGAATGCAAAGTGGTTAATATATAAGGGTCCTAGCAATCATGATTCTCTGCACATCATGGAGGGTAAGCAGCAGATTAAAATGCTAGAAAAAAATCCCAAATAACCAATATGAAGAAAATATTATATGGAGAATAATATCTGAGAAATTGAAGCATGAAATAAAGATAGAGCAGCTTAGTGCTAGATGACAAAACAGACCAAAGCAGTGAAAGGGTTAGATTAGATGACTATGAAATACAGGAATAGTAATTATTTCCCATTCCTCATGTCTGCAATTCCCACTTCACAAAGACACAAATTTTGTTTTTCCATAGAATAATATTAGAAGAAATCCAGCTGCACCAAGCAAAGTAAAAACATCAACATTGTTATTAATGAATATACAAGATAGGAAAAGGCTGCTAAAAGAAGCAATTGAGGCCAGTAAGAGGAGAATCAAGGATAAATCAATTTTGAGAGCTCAAAAGAACTGATCCAGCAGTTGGTACCACTAGGGGAAGTCTCGACAAACAGCATCCGCCAGCAATTAACAGTATAGCTTTTCACATGGCTGTAGCATTCTCTGTCCTTTGAACACAATAGGAAAGAGTGAGTACTCTGTAATTGATCAGTATTTCCATTTTTTAAAGGAAATTTCAATAGCTTATTGGGCCAAATCCATGGCTGCTAAAAAAAAAAAAAATGAGAAAAATTGAAATAAGAATGAAGTTCTTGTGGTTTCAAAGGCTGCAAATAAAAAGTGAGATGTGTATCCAAAGAAGGAATATTATCTTTCCTGGCCTCTGTCTGTAACAGACAATCACAGTGCTTCTGTCACATTTTGGAGAATGGGATCTCTAATGTCATCCACCTTCATGCATCATGAAACTGGCCAGGATATAAACACAGTAAAGCCATAATGAACAACATTCAATCTGGATTGTATCAGGATGAGCTTAACTATTCATCCATTCCATAACTTCCATAACTCTTACAGTGAGTTACCTTAACTCCAATACTCTTACAGTGTTCTTGATTCTATTGGACAAAATGTATCAATGTGAACTGATCCTTCAGAAAAACACTTATTGTCATTGTCACTTCCAGAAGCTCAGTTTCTAGTCCACTCTTAATGTGAATCAATTGGGGGGGAAAGAAACATTACAGGAGTTATATGCTTTAGTCGCCACCAGGGGGTGCACTTCCCCACTGAACCCTGAAGCTGGGTAAGGAACTCCTATATCAACACAAAGCCATCACACTTAAAACCATCAAATTACTTAAAAATGCCAATACCATCAAACTACTTAAAAATGAGTACGCCTAAGTAAAGGGATAGCCAATCTGGTGCTCTCCAGATGTTGTACTCTGCAAATCCCATCATCCCTGACTATTCACCATGCTGCCTGGGACTGCTGGAAGTCCAAAGACATCTGGAGAATACCAGGTTTGGGAAGCCTGATGGGAAAGAAACAGGAAGAAGGGAGAGAAGTAGGAAGAATCTAGGCTGACCTCCATAGATGTGCTTGCCAAGAAATAATGCCCTGAACACTTTGGCAAGTTCCTGAGCTGGTCAGAATATCCAGAAGTACCCCCACACTGGGTATTTTCCATGGATTCTGGAGAACTAAGAAGGGAATCTCATCTCATATTAAGCAATGAGACAGATATAAGCCTCTGACTACTTCAAAGCTCAGCACAACTTGAGAACCATCCCCCCTCCAAGTTATCCTCAGGCAAATGGAGAGCTATGGGGGCAGACCTTAGGCTTGTGGGATCTACTTCACTGAGTTACAGGATGGATACCTGCCATCCTAAAAATCCAGCAACAGAGGGGCAGGTGAAAATTATGACATGGGTGGCTGTAAACTATGAACTGAGGGAAGGGGAGCCTGAGCACATGCTCAGCTCAGCTCAGCTCCTTGTGATGTACATCAGAACCAAGCCCACAATTTATCACACATAACAATCACTCCTGGTCTCCCCAAAGCCATCCTTTCTCAGTAGTCTGTTTTAGGAGTAGGGAACCTGCTGTTATTATTGTTACAACAATCTGGAGTCAGAAATGCTCGCTGAGCTACTCCAAATCACCCAGGGATCTGCCAACAGATCCATATCTACTTTTTGCCCATCAGTGATGTACAAGATTTGGGGGGATGTATACTTTATGTTCTTGATTTTACAGTGGCATAAGAAGTGCAAAAAACTAATACTGAATACAGTTTTGTGTCAGATGTATTAGGCATGGGAAGAGGACTTATAGGAACAACTTGCAGACTAACCATGCTGTGCTGAGCTGTGGACAAGGCAGAAACAGCACTGAATTGTGTGCGCTGTTCCACTTGTTTCATGGCTTATCACAACATGGACAGAGAGTCCCGTGTCTCAACACATCTGCAGAAGGAATGGCCAGTGGTAACTATACAAACAATGACTTGGCTACTGAGCAAAGACATAGATTTGTGGACCCCTGAATAACACACGTGTGTGCACACACACATACACACAGTGGTATCTTGTCATCTGTGAGCTCCTGAATGTGCAGGTCTCTCACAATATTGTGAAGTTGCTGCCCCAGTGCAGCTACTTCTGTCTCTCTGCCACTTCCAAATCTACCAGGATCCCAACCATCCTGACAACGCTGTATCTCTACCACAGGTAGAGCACATACAGGGATTGCTGAAAACACAAGAAGACTTTCAGATTCTAAAATGTATGCACAGTACCTGGTATGAAGCAACTAAAACCAGCACATACAAATGTACTTCAACTCCTCTCTGGTATATAATTCATATTTATACATAAAATGTTCACTGTGTGCAAATAACAGTAAAGCAAGATAGTCTTCAGTCCTCTGAACTGTTCACACATATAATAGTATTTTGATATGATGAACATTAATCCCAACTGAGCAACTTTTCCTGACATCCCATTTGCTATATTTTCTAGCACTGAGGAAGTAAATTAAATAACATGATTTCAGTTGCATTTTGCCACCTTAGTTAGGGTTTATCCCTTTTGGGAACCAATAGTATGGAGGACAACAGAAATGAAAACATTCAACCTCTCTGTTCCTGAAAGCTTAAAACAAAATAAATACTGATAATATTTTGGGTAACATTTCAAGATTACACCATAAAAGCACATCAACATTACTGTATCTAAAAACAGTGAAAAAATATTTTTCCCTTTCAGCCCCAACAACAGTTTCCAATCCAAGTTAAATACATTTGAGCTTCATGTCAGAAATATCAGGACTAACCCTCCACCTCCCCGCCATTCATATTTTCACCCCAGTTCAGATTGAAGTTCCTGTAGCTATTACACACTTACGCATGTGTGTGTGCACATGCACTTACACAGGCAATCACACAAAACACATTTAATGCAAAGTGTGGCATGGCCCAAAGGAGCAGCTTCTCTTTTCGCTGTGATAATGCTTGAATTCAGTCACTAAATGCTGTTTGCTACCTCTTATGATGAATTGCACACCTGTCTTGTGACAGTATATAGGATTGTATCCAATGCTAGCCATGCATTGTGGAATGGCAAGTGCTAGTGGAACAAATGGCTCCTCCAGCCTGCAGTGCCCTCAAATCTGCTTCTGGGGCTTGGGAGCTCTCCAGGAAAGACCTGAGGGGGTTACACAGGGGAGGAGAGTTAGGAAGAGCCCTGTTCCCTTTATGGGAGTCTGCTTTCATGTCATTCGATTCAACAGACAAGCATGCGCCAAGTCCAATCAAAAATAAGATTCTGAAAATCGTAACCTGTATATGAACACATGTGTGCAGACACACAAAATCACTTTTAAAGCTTGGCTTTTCTTCTCTCAGGACCTAAGCAAATCACATTCTTTTAGCAGCCTTCTCTTATCAAACCAAAGATGAACCATGCACTTCTTTTTAAAAAATGCAGCAACAGCACAATGGTTTGTTAAAAGTAGTAGTAGTGGTTCTGAAATGGGCTCATGTTAATACTTGTGTGCACTACCGTGCAGAAGTTGCACATGAAGCAACAGTGTGGATGCTGCTCTGGAGAGAGGTGAGAATGGCCCAGTAATTCAACATCCTGCAAACATAGCAGCTGTGCTGGACTTAATGAGGTTCCCTCACCAGACCCCTCATCATCGTCAGTCGTGGGTTCCTGCATCTCCTCTGGGAAAGCCTGAGAGCGACTTGGGTAATTCTCGCTGTCTGAAACAGTCACTTGTGCTTGGGACCTCTCACCTGAGGTCTCTGTGTGCTGAACTGGCGTCGAGGTAGTTAGGCCCTTGTATGTAATTTCACCTGACTCATCTTCTTCAAAATCATTAAGGCAGTATACTTCATCCACGTCGAGGTCAAGAGTCCGGAAGCCCTTAGTGACCACCCCAGGCCGTGGGTCCAAGATGCCCCCCAGATGAGGCTGAGCAAGCTGCTGCCAATGGTGCAAAGTGGCAGAACCTTGGAAAGTAATAAAACAAACAAAAGTCAAAATGGGGAGTCCCTTCTTGATCACATCTTTACATCATATCCTAGTTGCTGTTGAACTATTTACTTCAAATATCATCAATTAGATCATGCAGTGCTGTGTAAGAAGTTTCCAGAGTGGGAAACTGGGTATTATGAGCTTCTTATCCATTCATTTGCAAAATGCTAAGTGGGAAAAACTAACAAAGTGATTTAAAAAATCCCTGCCAAGGGAGGACATGTGTCCACTCCTATCTGTAACAGGATAAAGGCCAATTGTAAGATTTAAAGCTTAAATCTGCTTGCTGTGTACTTTATTACCTTGTATGTATTTGCATTTTAAGCTGCGAAGGCCTTACAGATAAAAGCAGGAGACAAGCCAGGCTATGAGAGCCAGTATGGTATGGCAGTTGTGCTGGAGATAACAGACGATCTGGATTCTAGTCCTCAGTCATGAAGCTCCCTGGGTGACTTTGGGCCTGTCACTGGCTCTCAGCCTAACCTGCCTTACAGGATTATTGTGAGGATAAAATGAAGTAGAGGACTATGTAAGCCACCTTGGGGTCCTCACAAGCAAAGGAAAAAGTGGGATATAAATGTAGTAATAATAAATAAACTGCAATATAGCGTAACAGAATGAATATGGAGATACAAAACTTAAAGTATCACATTAATATCTGTACGGTTTAATGCTCAAATATTTCTGGACAACCTTTTGATTATAAGAAGCCAATATGCATGCTATCAATATATTCTAGAACTTCATCACTGGAGTCTAACAGGAAGAACTATTATATAAAATAGTACAAACTACATCAGCTCTATATGTATCTAAAAAAACAAAATTAAAATGCCACGTTCTACTCCTATAATTGCCAAGCACACTCTTCTTTGCACAAAACTTGCTAACACATAAAGGATGTTCTACTATACCTGCAGATTTCTCCTTGGCTTGAAAACATTTTTGGGCAAGAGAATGTGCACACACTATATATATATATATATATATATGCAGCATGACACATGCAGCACAAAGTAAAAATGTCAATCAGCATCGTACTTTAAGATTAGTGTTTCTGATGCAAGAGCATCAGTAATCCAGGATTTTAAAGAAAAAACATAAGCATAAATGCAAGTTGTGTGTGCCAAAAGGAAAATGTACATTTGTGTATCAAACATCTTTTGAAACTTAAGGGAGTTATATGCCTGTGATACAAAAGGGGGAAAAAACAGCCAAACAGTTATAATGGGTTGACCCAAGTCCCTGCACATACAATAAGAGGTTATGTTTATATATGGGTCCCTAACAAACTTTGTGGTTCCTCATAAAGAACAGACTCACTCCTCTAATTACCACATCTAATAGCAAAGTCAGAAAGGGGGATTAGAAGTAAAGAACAGAATGAGACAGATAAAATTTAGCTACATTCCTCCTCAGCTTTACTGATTGAGAATCTACTTCGAAAATGTCAGAACCAGGAGGCACAGAAATCTTTAAGAGGATACTGAAAACAGAGGGTGCTTTCATGCTATTTCCCTTCAGAATAACATGGACACTTGCCAGCAGAACTTCAAAATTTCAACCGTGTGAAATGACCTGATGAACCAAATTCAAAAGAGGGTAACTGATGTTTAAATACATGAATGAGTAACCAGTGCTTCTAATCTTGCAATGGAAGAAGCAGCAAAAGTATCTGAATAAGGAAATGCCTATGATTTATGGATTGCGGAATACTGTACATGGAAATTATAGCATTAGTGCTCAGCACAGTAAAGTATGCTAACACTGAACATTTTGCTACGTTACCTTTGCAACTTTTTAAAAAACTTGTAAGCTAATGTACTAATTTTTAGGGGGCATATATATATAGATTGATCTGAGCTAAATCATATCCAAGAATAAACACCTACTGTTCCCAATTTTATTAACCTCATACAAGGGTCCGGTCTAAGTTCAGTTTTATGGTACAATTGAATTAGAGGCAGAAAAAAATTATCTGGATCATGTATAGTACATTCGCTTGCATAGGAATTCCATATACAGAAATGCCAGGGGTAATACCCAACTACTCAATGATGTTGCACTAACTTAACCAGAACTTGTGCAATTTAACTGGCCCTTGCTAGATCAATGTGGAAAAGCAGCAATTTCCCTAATTGTCCTAGCAATTCCTAGTTACATTGTCATCAATGCTTGCACTACCCCAGGTCTCCGTGTTCTTCTGAGCATGATGATCTGGCAACTGAGAATCCATGTACGGCATTTTTTTCTTAAAAATTAAACACCTAATATCATTAGTGAAAAATGAATAGACAGATCTGTATACAATAGTTCTCAAAATGACAGATGCCTTTTCATTGACCCTTTGGCTTCTTCAAGTTCTTAAAGCAGATTAAAATTATGCATGGCTCTTTCAGAAGATGGCAGTTGTGATAAGTTAAAAAAATTAAAAGTAGTTTGACATAAGGTAGAAAGTATTCATATGGTTGCCTAATCTGTAGTGAAGAATCTGCAGTGTCTCATTTTTACCTGTGGTGGAAACAGAACTAAAGAATCCATTACTAACTCTTTAGATGCATAAGTTCGCAGAAATTTATGGATCTAACTGAAGTAACATGACAAAGCACTGAGCTTGTGTTTACTTCCTACTGTAAATATTCTCTTTAATAAATATGGTGAATGCTAATTAGATGATAGTATACAAAATACAATGAATTACAGCTGAATGGGGGAAAACTATGTCTGTATCAGCCTTAAAATATTTACCCAAGCTGGTTTCCAAATTTTTAGAATAATTTGTTTTTCCCAAAGATTCTAAATTTTAGAATTTAAGACTCAAATATTCACATGCACACTCTCCAACAACAAATAAATGGTAAATATTTCTAAACTTGGAAGAGGACCAGCGACATAAATGGAGTATAGAAGTGGAACAAAAGGTTCAGCACATGAAGAAAAATTAATAAAGTGGAAAATCAAGAGAGACAAAGGAAATAGAGATTGAAAGTTTATTGAAGAAGAAATTAGAAAGATTTGTGAATGGCAGGAAGATGTGTGAATGACATAAATTTACTACAGTGCTAATAACTAGTAAATGAAGGTTGGTTATTCACTATGCATCCTCTAAAGTAACGTAAGAATTTTGGGAAGGCACCTTAAGATAGCAAAAGAGGGTATTATTTATTGACCCACTGCAGTTGGTAGCACATGCAAAGTCTATCATGCATTTCTTTCTTGCAAAAGAAAGACATTTCTCCCATGAAAAAAATAGTACCAGGCTTTATTTGGTCTTACACTGGTCTCAATGGATACATGTTGTTACCAATATGAAATAGCTTGAGGACTAAAAATTGAAAACAGAAAAGGGATAGATTCACAAGTTATACATCCCATGTCTGTAATCCAAACACAAAGGTAAGCATTTTTCAGTAATGTTTATTTTAAGGCAACTGCAGTCTATATGCAGTAGAAACAGTCCTCAATGCTTATCAACATGGACAAAAATACTGATATCCTAGCCTTGAAGTAAGGCTGTCAAATACTGCATGTTCATAACAAATACTCTGAAATTGGCTGAAGTCAGATACAAGTGATTTGGGACTATTGTCCAGACAGCTAGTTAACACCACAGTGTAGCAATTATTAAGTAAATTGCATAGAATTGCACGAAAATCAACTAACTGCCTTAATACACGGTACAATTATCACTCCACTGCTCTTCTCCATATCAATATCTTTACTTTCCCCTCTATATCTTGTATAGTGCTCTAAAAATATGTGAACAACCTTAGAAATTCAAATGGAAGTCACTGAACTAACTATATGATTATAGTGACATAGCACACTTTACCACAGGAGTTGCTTGCTTCTGAAAATAAATAAATCTTACTCAGAAGAGTTCAAACAAGCAACGTGGGTGGCTATCTCTAAAGTAAAATGAGTAGGTGTTACAGAGATTTCCTGCTTCTTGCTGATGGAGAAGAGACCACAGAGAGTCACTAAGGAGAACATACAAAGACTGAGGCGCTTTATTATCACCTTCTAAGGGCTTCACAATCTGAAGCTTCTCTGGGAGGTATGAACGACTGCTGATGGACATTCCTGAATATCCAGTAAATTCAGAAAACCTGGAGTGAGTTCCTAATGACATGATACTCTCTGTTGGAGTAATGGAGCCACTATGGAGTTCCCCCTTCTCAGCCAACTCTCTTAGCTTTCTTTCCTGCTCTTCTTCAAAGAACTTCCTTTCTGATAGGTAGTTTTCTCTCCTAAGGGACAACCTCCGAAGAGCTGTTTCCAGGTCACTAGATCCAGGTGTTCCCGGGGTTCCAGGCTTTTTGTTCTTTTCTTCATTTCTAAAGAAAAAATACACTTTTATTCATATTTTCCAATACAGTGAAAGGTTTGTTTAAAAATTGGAATAAGAGTATTGAGAATGCCAAAAAATTGAAGTCTTCAACTCCACATAGCAAGTCAATTGTTTTATCAAGAGAATATAGTTATCTATTTCTGAAAATACATATATTCATTGAAAGGGCTGCAAAAATAAGGTGTTCCTTTGCCTTGCTCCAGATAATTATTTTAAAGAAGATCAGCCCATATCCAGATTTCACATGCTGACCATTCAAACTAAAAGAGACAAATGTGAGCAACAGCAGAGATTTTTGGAGGATATATCAAGTATTCTAATACATATATTTCTGTTACAGAAATTCATTGTGCTATACACCAGAAGGCAGGGTTGATTCCCAGAATAACCAATTCTCCAAATTTCACATTGCAGCTAGACCAAAGATGGGTTAGCTAGCCAGCAACGATAACCAAATAAAAAAGGAATCCCTGTACAAATTTATTTCCTCAGCTATGTGAGCTAGAAACATTTATTTAGAAAAGGAACACCAGCTTTTCTCTGGCACAGAGAGCCACTTTGGGGACTGCATGCATTGCACAAGTTACCCAACCAAATTATACTCCTAGTGTGATAAGTTTAATAACTGGCATTGAAAACAGTATGTCAGTGATGGTCAAATAATTTAGGGATGTGAATGTAGAATTAGAGTGATTCAAACATTCACCATATTATAAGAATGTTGCATTGTAAGTCATTAACGGATAAGTAATAGGAAAGCAAACCATTCCAACGGTTTCAGTTAAAGAGAATTTAGTCATCAATAAGAAAATGATTTGGCTGTAGCATAGTGCTCTGCTGCTGAATTAGTGAAATACAATAACACAAGAGTAACATTTTCTTTTGGGAAATTATCTATTAATGCTAAAAGATGGAACACAGCTAACTTCTAAGCAAGACTAGTATTAGAAGACCAGAAGCAAGCAATGTAGGAGTATTAAACTTCTGCTGAATACTTCAAGTAAACAGATGCAATGCCCCTAATAATGTCTGCTTAATTTCCACCTTATCCTAGGCAATATAAATAGTGCAAGTCACTGACTGAGGCAAAGAATGAGGATGACACTGCAGTTCTAGAGATGCATCTAATCTCCTAGCTATGCCTTACTGACCCAGAGTCAGTTGATTCAGTTTCTAGGATGATACTATTAGTCTTGTTGTCTATCACAATATTGGATATGTCTCCTCCATAGAAGCTGGATCGTGGTGTGCTGACACAGCTAGAAATTACTGAATTCATGGCTGATGACTGGTTAGATCCTGGGATGTTCATTGGAGATGGAGTTAACGATCTCTGCTTTACCACCTGGTTGATGTTCCGCACTGTGTCAAACACTCTCTTGGGATGCCTGACAAAGAAACAGATAGCAACCATCAAAATACAGAAATTTTTAAATTTCCTGCAGTGATGCCATACTGTAGTTAACACAGCTTTTGTAATGGAAAAAAATATGGACAGTGTCCTATATTGCAATGGTGCCACCACTATATAGACCACTAGTGTAACAGGAACTAGTGGTTCTTTAAAAGTACACAATCTGTCTCAGTTCCACAATGGGACATGTCAGTGGGTCATGTTCTTTGTTGCTTTCCTTCTTGGAATTGCTAGTTCAAGCTGCACTAATGGCCCTTTGCATCAGTGGGGGACAGTGTCAGATACTGCCCATGGACCTGTAGACAAACAGTGCAGTTACTCATTCATCCCTGTGATTAATGGTGGACAAAAGATTGTGCATCAATAAATTTGTATTATACTGAGAAAATGGAAGAAGAATAACCAACACACACAATTTTCCAGATTATCCACCAAATTAGCCCATTCATTCAAATAGCCTTATCTTGCTATTTCTAGTAATCAATATTTCTAGCAAAAGACTTCCGAAAAAAATGCCACTTTATCACATACAGTAAAATAATTAAATAGAGGAAGGTTTTGACTGTTTCCTCCTATTTGCCTAGTTTGCAGTTTCAGTTCTCTCACCAGTAGCAAACCATTATTTTTATCCATATTATCATTAGGAAAGTATTTTGCTTACTTTTCTAATTTAAATTATAATGCTACTAGGAAACATCTTATTTTCCAAAAGATATAATTGCTTAAACATCTATATACACAATCAATCTGCAGCTTCACTCTCAAATGAAAATGAAAAATGCCTTCTGTTTTTAATATAGAGGACAGACTCCAAGTAAGGAGTTCAGGTCTACCTTCTTTGTTCTAAAAAGGCATTCAATATAACGAAGGTTTAATTAAATGTTGCATAAAAGATTTGCATTAAATTAAACTGAATATGCATTATTCATTAAATGTCATTTTTCCTATTAAAATATCTCAATGCATCAGCCATACGTTAAGTCAGGGGAGTCAGAATCATCCAGATGCAGTTCTTTTCTCATTGAGCCTTCAATTTCTGCAGCCAAGGAATCCTGTTAAGACAATTTTAAATGGTGACATAGTATGTTACTAACACTTAAGTTTATGTTTTAAATATGTAATGAGAGCCATGAGAGTAAACACTATTTTTTTAAAATACCTGCTATCTTCAAAAAGAGAGTTTTATACCGCCAGCTATCAGACACATACTTGACAAATGAACCTGCCAACATATCCAGAATAAAACATTCTGTTTTGAAAAGGTGGCAGGTCTAATCCTTATTCACAGAAATACTTGCACAAATACTTCCACAAAATGCAACACAGAACAGAAAACTTCCTAGGTTCATCGATAAACAATGTTGCCTTTAAAATGCAGAACAAGTAAATTTCAGATTATGTGAGTTTATACTTTGTATACAAATCACTTTACAAGTTTATAAATTATAAAACGATACACATTTTCTGTTTACAATGAAGACAGTTTACTTTGAAAACAAATTCATAGTTGTAATTAGGACTGTCTCTTTATGGTGAAAGAAAGGAACGATTTAGTCTTTCCTTGGCAATAGCTTGGGCAGAAGACAGATCACTGTTTAAACGAATCCACTGATTCTGTGAACTTAATCTTCCTTCAAAATGGAAGAGGTTAGAGGTGGGATCAAGCTATTTTCAGAAATAAATTGTGCTAGAAAGCTGCTCCTTAATTTATGTTACTAAACATTACATTTGCCCTGGCAGTAGAACACTACAAGAAGAATCTAATTAAGCACGTAAGTCTTAGCAACTTCAATCATCCTTATTCATCCACATTAATTTCTAAGTAAGGATTTGGGTTTTGGGGGCACTATCTTTTCCTTTCCAAATTGTGATTTTTCAGAAAATTACAAATCTCAATGCATTACACATAAAATGTGAAAGCAAAAGATCTGCTTTAGGATTAGACCCACCATGCACGATCAACCATGGGAGCTAGTGTGGCATAATGTTAATATGTTGGGCTGGGACTGGGGAACTGAGGTTCTAGTCTCCATTTGGCTCTGAAGCTCACTAGGTAATTTTGGGCCAGTTACTGACTCACAGCTTAACTTACCTTAAAGGTTGTTGTGAATATATAAATGGAGATAATCAAGTAGGTGCCTTGGGTTCCTTACAGGAATTAAGGCAGGATAGATATATAACAAACAAATAAATAATATTTAACACACATTTCTGTCAGCTACTGCAGTTAATGGCAGCTGTGAGTTGAGTTTTTACAAGCTCTCTTAAGAGTCCTATGGCACCCTGAATACTAGTAAAATGAGTTATGGTCTTGGAATACTTTTAGACTGGAAAAATGAAAAGGCCAGAGAAGAATAGCAGCATTTTCTTCAATAAAGAAGGCAGCTGCCAAGATGAAGAGAGTAAATGGACTCGTGTGCAGAAGAACCTAACCCTCACTTCATTTCTAAAAGAAAATCCTAGACTCAGAATGTACTCAGAAGTGCTCAGATCTTTCATTCTAAGCCCATTACCAAGGTCAATAAAAGCTGCTGCAAAGATCAGTTCTCAGGAAGAAAAAAGTTTGGGTTGTTTTGGTTTCACAAGAAGGCCCTACTGGTTAGCTGAGATCAGCATTTATTCCACAGTAAAGGAAATCGTTTAGATCAATTTGCTCTGCAAATGCACTAATTCTCCGCTGCTATTTTAGAAAAAAGAATGGCGAGACATATGCAAGAATTCCTTAAAGAAATTAAGAATGAGAAACTCTACCATATCTGTTACTGTTGTGCGATTTTTATTGAGATGAAAGAAGCAGACTCATTGCCCTGTGATTTGATCCCTTCCCAGGAAAGTCTTTACGGAGATATGTAGCCCTCCACAGTGTGCATATGCAATTTTGTGTAACTGAATTACTTGTCTAGTTTTGTACTCCATGCTGTAAGGGTTCATAAACAAATCTGGCAGAACTGTTAAGCACACTGGGTGTTTTAATTTTGTTTTTAATGCTTTTTTAGATTATGGAAAATATACCTTCAGTGGGCTCTTCTATATTTCTGAGTTTCAGTTCTCCTCATGCTACAGAATTAAATCTGCTTATGGGACTTTAAAGTCTGTGGTCTGTTAAATTTAGCGCCAACAACTACTAACAAATCATTCCCCCAATACTAGCCAATGCATTACATTTTGGAGGTAGGGACTATTTAATTGATTATATGATTAAGTTACATTTAAGGAAAGACTATCTCATCTGTGCCTGATAATGGTCTAGCTGTAGGCTTTTTAAGCATTTCTTTTTAAAGAAAGAATACCAAGCCATTTCTTGCATTTAACTGTATGTCTAATATATTATTTCCAAGTAAGTTTTTGCTTCTCCCTTGAAGGCATGTGTGCTACAGCACATGTATACTGATGCTTCTCTTAATATTTAATGGAACCATTTTTGGAGTTTATTTCTTTAGCCTACTCAAAACTGCATCAATGTTAGTGTGAAATGAGTTTTCCAGGAAGAGTTTCTTATAAAGCTTCTTACCATAGGGAAAAGGCCTAATGAGTGGTAACGGCGTGATATGGCATTTGGCATTGTTTTGTTTCTAAGGTTCTTCAGCTCTTCTTGTGCCTCATGAAGCATTTCCATACACTCTGCATACTTGTCTTCCAACTCTCGTAACTGAAATGCAATAAGTATGGAAATTATTTCCATGTATTATGGGCTATCTAAAGATCACTCATCACTTTTGATAAGGGAAAACATTTCCAAAAGGTCAAAAGACTGTTTGTGCACGTATGAATTAAACAGTACAGTTAATTCAGTTCATATCTGAACTAAATGCTGCGCAGAGAGGCAGTGCAGTGTGAATACCACTGTGGTGTAGTAAAGTGCTGGATTGAGACTGTCTGGTTTCAAGTACCTGCTTGACCATGAAGCTTACTAATGATTTTGGGTCAGTCATTGCCTCTCAGCCTAACCTAACTCACAGGGTTGTTAAGAGGATAAAATAGAGAAAAGGAGAATCATATACACTGCCTTTGACTCCTTGGAGGAAAAGATGGATATAAATGTGATAATTTTTTAAAATGGCAAAACCACTTTTGTGCTTAGTTTCTTATCTTCCTCAGTGTTAAGCTAATACAATAATCCTCCTGAATATATCAAAGAATAGATTATTGCTGAAACAATACTACATTTCAAGTTCTGAGATAATTTTCATTGATATAGGCCTGAAGTGACATTGAGTGAACACATGAAATTTGAGTTCAAGAACTAGTTTCTTTATGTTAATCTTTAATTCAAACACTTCATCTAGTATGAGAGCAAGAACAACTGGGCAACAACATGTTCAAGCTATGTAAAAGCAGTCTCCCTGCTTGGTATTTATGATTATCAAATTGTCACACTCACTTCTGCTGTGAGCTGCCTTTGGGCATCTTTAGCTGCTCCCAAATGTTGGACAAGCTCTTCATTTTCCACCGTGCACTGGAAAAGTAATGATTAAAAAATTACAAAGCACTAATAAACTCACACATTCTCTTCTTTATAAATATTTAATGTATTAAAGTAAAGGGGTATATGAAAAGGGATAAAACGGATTGCATTATATTACCACTATTCCACAGTTAATACTTTAATCTTACAGCTTTTGCCTTTTTCTGCAAATCCACTATCTGGGAAAGAAGATGGGTGATTTCTTCTTGCTGACGGGCAGCATCTTCAGTTTTCTTGGCTAATTCTTCAGAGATACTGGCAATCTGAATATTTGCATCTCCTTAAATAATTAAGAAATAATATAATCATAATTATATTATGTGCTTACATAGAAAAACATTTGGGATAGGAGTTACTTGCTAAATCTGTGAGCAAGGTACTTTGATGGAAATGTGTTAGAAAAGGAGATATTTGATCTGGTATGACATGTCTTGTCCAACTGATGCAAAACTGCATGGAAGAAGCAAAGATCATCAGTGTCAGTAAAGTAAATGATTCAATCACTTGGTCATCTAAATAAGTCCATAAAAGTTACCAGCTGACTGGGGACAGGAAGAGAAGTAACCAACAGTTCTGGCCCTACTGCAGCAGCCCTTTGCACTATAGTGGGTATAAAAAGGGGGGCATGCCAGTGTAGTTTCTAGGCTGGGTACGTAGAAGGGCTGGACCATTTTCTCCCTCTTCTGTCAGGCTGCTCTCTCACCTTATGTGCTCAGTTGCATGCAATTCCTGATCGACTATGACTAGCAGGCTAATGCTAAACTACAAGACTGCTGTAACCACAGGATTATTTTCATACAACAAATGTGTGAACTGGAGGTTCTGCTCCCTCATTGTTGCATTAAGATTATATAGAAGGATGGGACCAACACAAGGCCACTCCACAACGTGGCCTTTGATGCTAGCATGGTTCTTCCTTCCTGCCAGCACTTGTCCAGATGCTACTCTTTCTGATCACTGCAACCATTTGCTTGCTTCACAAGCAAAGAGCTAGAGAACAAGTTGGCATCTACTGCTCCTTCTCACCACCACCGTCTGGGCCAGAGAAAGAGGCAGGTGTACCAGCAGGCTACAGTGGAAGCTCTAGAAGGCTCTTGTCAGTGGGTCCTCAGCAGGAGCACAAAGATGCAGACTCTTGACACCAGCCCTGGTTCTTCCTATGGAATACTCTAATCCTCCAATATGTTTTCCACATTCTTAGTCAGTGTAACATGCCCACAGGGAAGCAGCAACAAGTATGCCACCTCCACAATGTAGAATTTGGCTGTTATTTACTCTGTGAAGTGCACGAATTAAAACAAGTGAAGTTTCATCCCACTTTTGACATGCTTCCCTGTAACATTTTAAAGCAGTAAGTGAATTCTTTTTAAATCATACCAAATGTGGTCTCATTCTTTAATAAAATGGGATAAGTAGCATAACTCTCATCTATGACACACAAAATCCACCCAAAATCAAAGCTACTTAAATGTAATTGATACTTTCCTGTAATCTATGAAGAAAATGAGATCCAGCACAGTTCTAATAATTTATATAACATTTTATTACTTTCATATAGCCCATAATATATAAACATTTAGGGTTAGATACAAAGGAAAGAAGTCACATTTTAAGAAAAATGTGCTATTAATTTATTAATATTAGTTTAAATAAAATATTTTTAAAGTCTTCCCCCACCCCAGAACACCTAAAGCAAGAGCCACGATATAACAGCCATTAGGTACGTCTACAGGTAATGGAAACCCTTTAAATTTTTAAAAAGAAATAGTTTTTAAAGGAATAGACACAGAACTGTGTGAAGCACTTAAGCATATATAAATGAATAAATATTTTCCATTTAATTGGAATGAAAATATCCATCTATATTCCATTAAGGAAGAAAGAGTTGCTTCACATACATACTATTTCAATGTTCCTTAAACCATGCATAGTTCCAGCCAGTTTATTAATTAAAAATTTTTCCTAGGCCACAGTCATGAAGCAAAGCTACTATGAAATGAATACCATAGCCAAAATGATTTAAATTCTGACTTCAATATTATATACTAATATTGCTTTACTTTAGACTGCTACTGAAGGGTTTTTATGATTGAGAGCTGTTTTTCTTTTTTCCATTGTGCTTTTAATGTATTTTATAGTATTTTTAAGTAAAATTTTGTTTTAATTGCTTTATTATTGTTGTTAGCTGCCTTGCATGCCAGTTTTGGTGGAAAAGCAGAGGGTACGTTTACTAAGAAATAAATACAAACCTTGAGAAATATTACTAGCCATTTCTACATAACAAATGTTTATTAAATAGTGAAGGATAACTGTCCACCATATTTATTCAGGGGACAAAAATCACCTGGCCATATTCCACAGATACATCCCTATAACTATGTATCATTGCTGGCTTTAGAAGACAATGAATTGTGAGTGCAAACTATTCTAAAGTGGTGTATGGCAAAGCTCTAGCGTCAATTATTAATTCTACAAGCTAAGTATACATTGAAGATGGAAGCTTGAAAGATTATAGGAAGTGATGTTGAACAACAAACATATAAATCACCAGTATGCTGATGACACCAGTTCTACCTCTTGTTTACATCTACTCCAGGTGAGGCGGTGGCTGTGCTGAACCAGTGCCTGGCTGAGGTAATGGGCTGGATGAGGGCCAATAAAGTGAGCCTCAATCCAGATTAGACAGAAGTCCTGTTGGTGGGCAGATCGCAGTTTCAGGTAAGTGACTTTGACCTTGTCCTGGACGGGGCAGCACTCCCTCTAAAGGACAGGGTCCACAGCTTGGGAGTGCTCCTTGACCCAGGGCTGTTACTGGAATCCCAGGTGGCAGCAGTGGCAAGGAGTGCTTTCCTACAGCTTCAGCTGATCCACCAGCTGCGCCCTTACCTGGACAAACACTCCCTAGCAATGGTGATTCATGCTCTGGTAACCTCCCGGTTGGATTACTGTAATGTGCTCTATGTGGGGCTGCCCTTGAAGACGGCCCAAATACTTCAGCTGGCACAGAATAGAGCTGCCAAGTTACTGACGGGGACCGGTCATTATTCTCATACAACGCCAGTCCTCTACCAGCTACACTGGCTTCCAGTTGAAGTCCGGGCCCAATTTAACCTATAAAGCCCTGAACAGCTTGGGACCAGGATACCTGAAAGAGCGCCTCTTCCCTTACATGCCCTCATACCCCTTAAGATCTGCGGGAGAGACTTTGCTCCAGGAGCCCTCTCTAAAGGAGATAAAAAGAACAACTACCCGAAGCAGGGCCTTCTCTGTGGTGGCGCCCAGATTATGAAATGAGCTCCCTGGAGAGTTTATATTCTTTTCGGCACCAGGTTAAAACCTGTTTATTTAACTGATATTTTAAAAATTAATATTTTTATCTTTAACAGTCACTTTTTTGTTTTTATTTTTTATATAATTTTATGGAATGTGTATTGTCTTATTGTTTTTAATTGTACATTTTTGAGCCATTCCGAGATGCAAAGGCATGTGTTGATGGCATATAAAAGTTTTAAATAAATAATAAATAAAATGAATAAAATTTGGGATCTCAATGTGGAAGTGTGCTTCCTGGACTGTTGAGAAACCTAACTTTTCTAGTTAACATTGTAAATAGTCATTGATAGGGCATAGATTCAGACACTCCTGAATGCAAAACAAAATGATCTGGCTGTTCTATCAAAAAAACTCAGGAAGAAGAGATACATACGGAGTTCTTTCACACAGTCATTTACAAGTTGCTGCTCTTTCTCTTCATAAGTAATGGTTTCGGTCTTCAGCTGGCAAGCCTGTTCAAAACACCAAGAAGTCCAAAATTAGCATTCTGTTAACATCTTACTTAGTGCAACACTGGCACTGGATTTTAAAAGAGAGGCTCTTCCCACAGGAGAAGCCACAATTCTACAATAGCAAACATACCAACTTTCCCCTTTCCCACTCTGAATATAATGAATAATGAACAAGTTGCCACCACTAAGTATCACTGCTGAAATTGGAAAAGTGGAATTTAAATTGAGAAAAAGGGACAAGAATGAAAAACTATCATGAGTAAACAAAATACCAGATTTCATGGCTGTTGAATACATAAAGCTCTATTCTAACACTGTAATGTTCACTATATACACACAAGAACCAGGAGTCAATTGGAATGTAAGGTTGCTATGTCCCTGGGTGAAGGCTCCAGAAAGATTGTAACACCAGCACCACATATACTTTCTTAAAATTTACTGTTCTATTTCAGGAGTAATACATGCTTATTATATATTCAGTTAAAATATTACTTAATTTTTACCTGACTTTTTGTTATTCAAAAGTATAGCCACTGAATTATTTTTAGCATGTCCATCAAAAAGTGTTCCTATCAGGATCAGATTTTGTATATGACAACTAGTTTCTAAATATTATGTTAAACTTTAATTTAACAATCAAACTTCAAGGCAGACAAACTATTTTAAAACTTCCCACAAGTAGAAACATGACAGTTTGTCCTTCATCAAACGAGAGAAAGTAATTTCTTCTAAATACAGGCACTCCCTGAGTTACAAACAACCTGGACTTACAAACAAACTACTATATACCCTTGTAATTTTTAAAAATTACTGCAGAAAATCATCACCACCATAATAAGAGAGGAAGTGAAAGGGGAGAGAGAGAGAGACCTCCAAAGTGGACCTTCCTGCCTTGCCCATCTGGAGAGGGAATTCTCTCCGATGTTTTCTTGCGGCAAAGAAGAGGTACTGGTTAGTTGGGGGGGGGGAGGCTAGAAATATTCACTGTTTTTCCACTTTCATGGGGGCCTTGCACCCCTAACCCCTGCAAATGTAAAGGGTCAATATATGGGATCCAATTTACATACAAACTCAACTTAAAGATGGATTTCCGTTTTCGCAGGAACAGAACTCATTCTTAACCAGGGGACTGTCTGTAATGACGACAATAATATCCTGTGCTGAGTGGAGTGGACCATGCCCATCCTGCACACTGAAACAGTCTCACTATCCCACTGCAGCAGGATCCATAATCTGCCTTATTTATTTATTCATTCGAAGTAAGCCAAAAAGCGACCACGAGTTGCATACATATAATCATTTAAACAAGGCAGTCCCTGCTTGAGGGGACTCTCAATCTAGAAAGACAAAAAGGAAGAGGAAAGGGGAAGAAAATTCTTTAAATGGGGCTGGTGGAATGGCCCTGTTCACCCTCTCACTTTTCCCAGCTCAGCCTTCTGAAGTGGCTGGCAGTTGTGGGAGAAGGAGGGAAGGCTTGAATCAGGGCTGGGGGGAATGACGCTGCTCTTCTCTTCGGCTCTAGTATTTAATTGTATCCAATACAGCCTTTTAGATACTGATTGAATCTGTCTGAGGCCTGGTCCATGCAAAGAACAGATGAGGCAGCATAATTCTTCCTGGATTCAGTGTTAGCTTGAGGTTTGAGGGAAGGGGAAACATCCTCAGCAGGCCCTCTTCTCTTCACTGCATCAGCTCACTTTGGGCACAAGCCTCACTACCAGGCAAAGAGCAAGTTCTGGCTGCCTTTTTCCCTGCCCCATCACTCATAGACAACCCAGCAGTGAGGAAAGGCTATTGCTGAGTGCTACTTTGTTATCTGAGTGGTAACCACAGGGGGGAGGCAAACTAGCAGCTATGACTGTTGCCTACTTTCTAGCTTTTCCACTCTGCCTGAAAACAAAGGATTGGAAGACAAACATGTTTGTGCCCCAAAATGTGCCCAGCACTACCTGTGTTCTGCAATCCAGGAACACTTTACCTTCTGTTGACATTAGCCAAGCCCTGAATAGGGGCCACAACAATCTAGCAATATTTGCAAAAGTAATTTTGGGGAATAGGTGGATGGGGAACATCTGTTACCAGAGACTCAAATACATACAGAAAATTGTGATCTTACAACTATTTGTCAAGCAAATGAAGATTCTCATGGAAAAAAGGAAGTGAAATTATAAGTAAAATATTGGGAACTGTTTTACCTCTGATCGAAGCACAACATTTTCCTCTTCAAGGTCTTTGAGTTTCTTTTGAAGAGAATCCAAATGAAAATAGTTCTGGACAGATGAAGACGACTCATTCCTCTTCAGCCTGGTAAGAAGAACATTAGGATGTTTGTTTATGTCTGCAGTATTTGTGATAAGGCTGTACACCAACCTTCCAACAACAAGCAGAACTCTGTAAGATTCAGCATTTTCACAGATTTTCAGAAGGTTAAAAAATGAAATAACTTCAGCAATTATTTTTCTCCACCTATTTCTAATGGAGAAGCTTATGCTGCAAGATGCAAAAGAAAATAATTTTTGTTCTTATTTGTTTAGAAAAGCATAATTTTATGATTGTATGACTAGGACATACATCAAAGAATAAAACAGCATGCACAAAGATGGACTTGGGCAAGCAATTTTCTTAGGTACAACACTACCAGTAAATTTAGGTATCTTTAAAACAGAACTTTCCCAATTCCATGTCTGTTGCTTAAGAATTCATCAAATAAGCTGATCAGTCATGTAAACATGAGTTCATCTAATGATGCTGCATTGTGATACTGCTCAAAACTTAGCTGTTGTTGGCTACAAAAGAAATAAAATGGCCAACACCCTACTGACAGAGGGGAAAAAATTGCTAGCTGCTTAAGTACTGGCATTATCCCACTCCTTGAACGTCTGACATAAGCATGTTGTGAAAATCAGGGTCTTGGCTGAATCTGGAAGCTCCACTTTGGATGTCCACATTATTTCACAGCTTTCTAAAATCAGAGATGGGAAAGCTCTTTCAGTCCGACAACTGAACTCAACTTTAGAGAGTGGATGGAGCCAAAAGTACAGCAAATATCCATGTAGTTTAGCTTAAAACTCTTACTACTAGTAATTAAGATTTAGGAAATACATTTTAACCATTCAGAATGGGGAGGCTGCACAAAAGCCACCTAGAGAATCCCAAAGGGGTAGGCTGTGACTGACTTGGTCCCCATACTGAGGTTCCTCATCCATGAGTTAGAACTTCCCTCAGTCATTGGAAAGCCAAGACATCTAATAGCAATGCCATGCTCTGTGTGTCTAGCATCACGATTGGGAGATGCCTGGTAGCAGCTTAATACTGAAAGAACTCAACAGAAGGCTAGGAAGAACTCTGTTTAGCCCTGCTCTGGTAAACCCAGTTATGAAGAAAGCTAGAAATACCCCAAAATACTACATTATACTTCCAGAGTTGTAAGCTATAGCATATAGCCCACCTCCAGACTTATGAACAAAGCTAGATTCAATTGCCATAAGGTGGTGCCAGATTGCATAAACAGATGCAAAACATGACTCCCACAATATACCATGATCCAAAACTTACGGGGTTGAACAGATGGATTCTGGCTCACTCTCTTCAGCAGCACTGGTATAAAACTGAAGCAGTTCATCTTTCATGGACAGTTCATGGCGCAACTGAGAAACCTGAATAAATGAAGGAAGAAGTTTGTCACACATTATACAAGTGAATCATGAACTGCAAAAGTGTATATCAACTATCATATGGTTCAGGCTACCCAATAATTGTACTTCAAAAGAAATACGAAAATGCTCTGAGTTAAGAAAAAGTGCAGCTCAAGAATTCCAGTTCCTGTTATGAAAGTTGCCTGTCCAGCTCTTTTCATACAAAGCTCTAATTCACCACTATGCTGTATCAGTGAGTGTGGTTCATTAAATAGTGTTGCACTCATAGGAAACTGCTGCAACTAGAGTACACCTCAGAGTAGACTCTGAAGGCACGTAAGGCATCCACCATGTTGAAGCTAAGCAGGTCTGGGGCTGGCCTGAGCTTGGATGGGGGACCACCTGGAATATGCAGGTAGCCACCTTGAGTTTCACAATGGGAAAAAGGTGGGATATAAATACAATAAATAAATAAATACTAGCTGGTCAATCACAAATGAGGTCTGCAACCACATAAAGTTATCCATGTCTCTGTGGCATTGGAAAGCTATGGAAAAATCACTTGATGCTGGGTCAGCAAAAAACAATATGACATTCTGGCAACTTTGCTTCAAAAGTGGCACCTAGAGTCCAGAATGCTACCTAAATTTAGGGAAGGAACACCACAGATCCCTGCAGGTCAGAAGCTACACTTTAAAAAGGCTTTATGAAAATAGGAAGCTGCCATGTATTGTGTCAGACTGTTGGTCCACTTTGTCTGTCCGCCACTGTCAACACTGACTGGCAGCAACTTTTCAGAGTTTCAGGCAAGATTTTTCTTCTAATGCTACCTGAAGGTTGCAAGGATTGAAACTGGGACATTCTGCATGCAAACAATGTGTTTTACTGAAGTATAACCTTCTGCTTTGCAAATTAAATGGAAGCAATAAAAACTTATGTAACTTTTTTTCTGTACCATGCATAAAATGTCTCGAATAATTGATGTAATCTACAGCCTCATATCTTCAGACAAAGATATTGGTATACTCTGTTGAGTAAAGAAGTGAGCTCAATTGCCTCTTTTGAGCTACTGAAGTAAATTTCAGTTTAAAAAATGATGTTCTGTGGCTAAGATGAGCAGGCCAAAGTACCACTTAAGATGAAATACTTAGATCTGAGTGATTTGTTTTACTTTCAGATTATGTATAAAAGCTAAGGATGGGTTTTTGGCTATGCATTCTGAAAAACACCAATAGGTTAAGTAAGATAATGCCATGGGTGGCCAGACACAACATAATAGATACAAAGGAATATAGCAAAAAGGAGTACATTGTTTACATGAAGAGGAATAAGCTTTAACAGCCATTTCTCTCTTGCTCTATCATTTCCTTCCAATTTTCTTTACTTTTTTTTAGAACAGGAGCCCTGCTTGTTTTCTGTTGGTCCTGTTGGCTTTTCAGACAAAGTCAAAGTTTAACTTTCACCAATTCTGAGAATTTAAATTTTCATTCTGAGTCAATTCCAAATTACCAAGTCAAGATACATCAAAAGATGGCAGGCAAGGATTTGTTAAAAATTAAAAATATAAAGAAAACTAGGCACTTAAAATGAAACTCAAATATATGAATCCCTGTTCACCAAATTAAATCTGAACAGGAAAAATCCTGGTGTGTGAGCAAACTTCCTCAGGAAAAGATTCCCTCCCGTGCATGTATTATGTAGTCATCCAAAATTGTTCCCTACACATCCTTACCTATTAAAAAATGGCATTGGTAGTGTCATTAAGATAATATGTTTTCCTGTCATAATAATCACAATAATAAAAAGGGAAGCAGGCAAATCAGAGCTGCTATGTGTAAGTATGAAGGTGATGAACTGGGAAAAAATGCCTGGTGCTTGAGCTAACAGCACAGTGTAAACAGGGTGCCTGTTTTGCTAATGTATGCACAAAATGGAGCTGAAGGAAGCAGATGGAACTCAAGCAATTAAGGTAGAGTAATTTAAACTAACAAAGGACAACAAAATTCTATGTCCTCCCTATTTATGAAGGAGACAGGATTAGGTTCTATGGTGTAGAGACGCAGCTCATCAAGAAGTATCTGCTTTTCCATTAAATCTATGCAATCTATTTGCTAAGATAATGCATAAAGTTGCATACAGTTGCTTAGCTGATACTAAGTGGCAATTACTGCTCTTAAAGGCAATTAACATTCCAAGAATCTATTTACAATCCACAGTTCAGAAACTAAGTCTGAATCATGTGGATATACAATAAAGTGTTTACTCCAGTGCACTCACCTCAGTTTCTTTAGTGCCTTACAATGCGTCTGAGTCTCAGTTTTCATAATTTAGTACTACTGGAAAGAGTTGTACAGGGTAGAAGTTAGTAGCAATTATTTGAAGCTGGGGAAGGGGAAAGACTCTTTCCATGAGACAGAAGGGAAGAAAATGAAATTTCAGTAGTTTTTAAGGTAATAGACAAAAGCATTATGTGACAGGAGAAAAGGGAAAGCTATGTTTTCAAAGAAGGAGAAAAAGGAAACAGGGGGGAAAATCGGTTAACTGCAGTGCTTTTAAAATTCCTGCATCATGAGGGGTTAAAGTAAAGTGAGACAGAACTGGTCAAATACACTTTCCATCTCAAATGGATAAATTCAGTAGAATTTGCAAGTTTAGCAAAGGAAGACAATTAGGGAAATAGGTGTACTTTTAACTGCAATCTCACTTGTAGTCATAGAATATAATGAATGACACTTCACACAATTTTCATGCATCCGATTATCTACAATTCTGCTAATGTGCAGCCATGTGTTTCATGTTTTTAAATGAAATGTTCGTAATATGCTAAAGCATTATGTATTGTAAAACTGAAAAAGCAGAAGCTTTCCATTATTAAATGCTAAGAAAAATTATTCTTTCGGGAGAACAGCTGGCCTTACGCAGGACTAACTCAATTCCATAGCTTTCAATGGATCTACTCTAAGTATGACCAAATGTAGTTCTAACTACGACATAGCACCTGTTTCTGAGATTCTTTATATAGTATTCAGTATTGCAGGTCCAGTAATATTTCTAGGCTTCATGGTTGTAAGGAAGATGTTGAAAATATGAGTGCAAAATCTGATGGGCAACTTCTTTCCCTCCAGCTGTTTTGATCCATCACTCTTATCAGTCTTAGTCAGCAGGGCCACTGGTGTGGGATTATAGGAGTTGTAGACCACAGCACCAGAAAGGCCACAGTTTATCCACTCTTGGTTTATGGTTTAGTTTTAAATGCACGAGCTGGAATTAGTGTAGTCAAAACCTTGCGCTCTCCTCTCCTGCTCTACAGCCAAGAGAAGGTTTTCACCAGCATCAATTTCACTTTCATCTTAACTCAGCCTATTGTTGCATATAAGACAGATTGTGGTTTATCAAACAGTCTAGTTCAGGGGTCTCAAACTCAACTTACCTGGGGGCCGCTGGAAGTAGTCTGGGTGAGGCTGGGCCGCATCAGGAGGTGGTGGTGGGCCGCTCCTCCCGCGTCACTCCCGGAGGCCAGCCCGGGTGCCGCCGGCACTTTGAAGGCCGCCGGACCCCTCCCCCGTGCCCTGCCCCCGGCAATTGGGCCACAGGCCACGAGTTTGAGACCCCTGCTCTAGTTAAAGAAGTTGGCTTGTTTAAAACTGACTTAGAGTTTGAAGTAAACCAGAATCTCTGATCCACGATGACACAACTAATGGAAAGTGAAAACTAAATGTTGAAAAATCTAGAAAAAGGGGGAAGGGGAGACCATTGTATTTCATCCACAGAGCATTAATATAATGGTTTATCATGATATGGCAGCAGGGTCATTCAGAGTGCGGCTCATATGTAAAATCTTAGAATGATCAAAAATCTAAACACTGTCCAAATAAACCCTTAATTTGCATGAAAGAATTGGCTAGCTGGCATTTTTAAAGTAAATCACTGATGTTCTGAAGCAGCATATGTCCCATTCACTGGAGCCCCATATTAGTGAGCAGACTATTTAGGAGCCATGTAGGATGATAATCTGAACTCTGCATTCCTATTATAGACTCACATGTGAAGATTTATTCATGTCCTCTCTCGTTGTCTGGCACAGACACAGACATCTTTCTAATCCAAACTGCTATAAAATAGCAAAAGTAGTTGACTTTTACAATCCTTAAATGAGTGGTAGTAATTACTGGTCATTTATTTTTAAGTATAAATTGTTTCCTTGAAGCAAAAAAGGCTGTTTGCTACTGTTAGATATTAGTCATGTATTACTCTCAAAGGCTAAAGGAATTTAATGATTCTTCTTTAAATCTGAAGCAAAAGGTCTGACTGATAAACAGAGTGGATATGTAAAGCTACTGAGGCACATATGCAAAAACATTGAATTAGAACATGGTAGCAGCAGTAATTAAGAAAAATGATATTATACAATGAAATATTTCAAGGATTTGGAAACAAAATTCTTGAGAAAGATTAGGAGCAGTTGTAAACTATCAGTCAATATAAAGACAAACACATTTCAAACAGCACTTTTATGAGGTGGGAGAAAGTCAAACTCTTTATTAGGTGAGGCTTAATCCAACAAAACAAATAACTTGCATAGACCTATTGATGAAAATTATAGGCTAAATATGGAAGATACATGTTTTTTTAAAAAGAGACTCACTTTAGGATGAACACAGTGAATTGTGACCTAGTGAATCTCCCTTTCTAGCTATACCTTGGTACATATGCTTCCATTATTCAGAAGAACAAGGAACAACCAATGAGGAAATCCTGATAGTAAAAGGAGGGATGGCAGGGATTAAGAGCGGCGATAAAGGAATGATCAAAGATTCTAATGAACCCACAAAATAGATGGGAGATGTTGATGAACAGCAAAACTTGACACCCAAAAGGCACCAGGGCTCACTGAGAAGCATGTTGGGAAAGCAAAGAGAAACAGAAATGTCTGGGCAAACTGACACAGCTAGACAGCAACTGCAGTTGGGACTCAGTGAGCCATCAAGTTAGCCAGGATGGACAGTCAAGTTGCTCAGGCATCTGTTGTTAATAATGTGCCTAAATCTAGACCCCACATGGTGATGGGAGCAACAAGGAGAAAGTGGCAAGGCATGCGATTAAATATGGCCAAGCAGGTTTGGTTTGGTGTGGGGATGTAGATGTTTTCTGAACTGGACACAGGTGAGTATGAGGTGCAAGTGAATGGCCTTACCTCTTCTCTGATATGCTCAACTTGTTCTTCAAGGAGTTCATTCCTCTCAGTTAGAGACTTATTCTTCTTTAACAATGACTGGCCAATCCGAGCAGCTAATTCTAAATCCCGCTCTTTCTGTAAAAAGGAAAAAAACAACTACACTCAATTACAGGCTTATGTAGAAAATAACCACCTTTTGAAAGTACTAGAAGGTGAAATCTATGTTCTAGGGAAAATCTACTTTTGAAAACAAAGTCTGCTTCTCCAAACAAAGAAACCAATGATTTGTGCTCTTTGTTTCCCCTCCATGTTGAGACACCCCCTTAATTTGGGGAAACTGGTGCATACCAAAAACCAACAATGCATACAAGAACACAGCCTTAACTTCAACTGTGAGAAAGATAATGAAACCCAGTTTTTATGTCAGTTAGGTGTAAAAATGTAACTGGCATACAATTTGTAAAGCGCTTACAGGGAATGTTAGGAAGTTTGCACATTTCTTAGCAATGCTTAGTATATACTAACTCTTAATATTGATACGACAGATTTAAAGGTGACCATTTTTCTTGACAATCATTTGCATCAAGGAGAGGGGATGTATTGGAAGGACTATGGTAAAATATTCCGCAGAAGGGTGGGTTCTTCAGGTGTATATTTGTCATGTCAGAAGCAGTATCCTCCATATGCACAACATTCACCAGTACACATACTCAAATACACATCTGAAACAAATCATTCCAGTGCCAGAAGATTTTCCAGAAGACATTCTAAATTCTTTCCAAATGAATTTTCTGGATGAGTGGCTATATTAATGACACAGCTGCCATGTAGGAAAGTTCTTACATGAGCTAGGTAAGACTTGTCTCCAATAATCACAGCAGCCCTTAAAAGAGGACAAATAGTGAAAGAACTCTGCAACCTGAGTGAATCTAGTGGGTCAAGATCAGAGCCCTGAATTAAGACTAAATCTGAAGTAGGGTACTGGGTATTCCACACACTTGATCAGGGCTCACATCCCCTGGCAAGGGCCTACTGACAAAAGCCTCCCAGACTTGCTTCTCTACTTCATCACAGTGACCTGCTAGTTTACTTGTATCTTGCTCTAGCCCAGACCACCACAGCGGTGAGAAGGAGCAGCAGGAAATGTCACTGCCTACTTGCTCACTGGCATTCTGCCAATCAAGCAAGTGGGGCCTCTCGTCTGTGCCATTAGAGAGAATAGTAGTAATTATGGCTTTGTACATGATAGTTTAGAATTTTAAATTATTCTTCATGCACAACTTTATAACAGCCCACAAGTTCTAGGTGGTTTCTTGAGCATGCCAGCAGTTCTCCTTTACATAACAAGATAATTCACAGTTGTTGCCTGAAAATTCCACACTTGGACAGCACACGCAGCAATCTACAGTGGCTTGAATAAATAAGTCATGTTTGGCTGAGGTGATGATACAAACTTTGTCAGTGTAACCTGCCTGGTACTGTTTGAAGGAGACTGTCTGAAAAGAGATAGCAACCCTAATCTATCACCAGGCTTCTAAGAGTTAAGTATGTTAAGAGCTAAAAGGCCATTGTATGGATGCCAAGTTTATCAATTTCACCGTCTCCCACATTTTAGATTATAAAAATCTCAAGTTCTTCCAGTCCCGTCTATAAACAAATTTGCCAATTTTGTAAATTCCTATTTTTTTAAAGGCTGAATGAAATTCTTACTCACTTAAGTGGTGTTGTTTTTAATGGAACTTAATCACAACTAACTTTAGCTGGATTGTGCTCCATATTTGTAGTTAAACATATAACTTAAACTAAATTAAATTCCATGTTTTTGTATCATTTTGTATAGTTTCATGAACAATGTAGAAACTTATAAGCTGGCATTCCTTTGGCTGTGTGTAAACACAACAAGCACAATCTAGCAACATTTAATCAGAATTAGGTCCCAATTAAATAAATGATACAGATACCCACCACCTGCCTCCAAATTTTGGTCAACAATTTGGTCAAAATTATTCTATTTACTGCAAGGTTCAAAATAATGCTCTTCTGAGTTTGACGAACATTTCCTGAGGGTACATTGTCGAGTTATATTGACTTCAATATTCAGTGTGAATAAGTGATACTTGCCTCTTCAAGAAGTCGTGTAACAGCATCAATGTCATTGTATGTTTTAGTCATCTGGCCCACTCTTTCAGCACATAAAACTGGAATAAAACAAAAGGAAATAGTTCAAGTTTGCTCTGATTATATGGGAAAATGTCCAGAATATTTGGTATAAACAAACAATGTTAATGAGAAAAATAAAGTTATAAAATTTCATCATTTATGACCTAATCTTAAAAATGCCTTCACAGAAGCAAATTCTATTATGTTCAGTGGGGCTTATTGTAAAGTACCTTTACATAGGATTTTTATCTTCTACTTAGTTAAAAAATGAAAATGCACCATTACAACTTACATTCAATTACCATGGGCATTATAAAGAGATGAGCTTTCATATAACTACAACCAAGATTACCCTACTAGGTCATGCACAGAATTTTAAATCTATGGCTTGGATCCTAGGACAAATTAACTTAAGGAAGCTCATAGAAAGAAAATTTGTGACTGGTTGCTGAGGAATGGGGAACTATCCTGCTGTGGGAGGGCACCCAATCTGGGGAAATTCTTCCCTTTCCTGGCAGTCCTGCACACACCATCTTTAATTGTTCAGCAGCCCTCCAACCTCACAATCATTTTTGGACAGGCATTTCAGGGAGGTCAGGTGCCTTCAGAAAGGAAGAGAAGGGAAACTTTTCTGCCAAATGAGCAGGTAATTGTGAACGAGTTTGTGTGTGGGTGTGTTTCTGTGTGTACACAGCAGATATGTAGCCATTACTGCTGTGAATGAAAATCCTCTTCCCTGTTGGATCACCATCAGTACGGGAAGATTTGGAGATGCTGCATTTGCAATGCCCTTTAGACAACTGTAATAAGAATAAATGCAAAGTTTCTACAAGTCCTGACCCTCACATGACGTCTCAATTGGGAAAAAGGGGAATTTTTTCAAGGCAGTACCCATGTTTTTCTTTCATTTCTTCCAACAGAACATGTTGTGAAATGTGTAGAAGAGCCAGTCATTTAAAACCGCTAGAGTATGAGCCCCCTGCATCAAATCATATAGTGGCTCTATCCTTAAAAGCAGCTCAACAATAATTTTAATAAATGCATAAATATTAATAATAACTTCTTTCTCCTGTCCTTTGTTCCTCTTGCACATTGCATGACCTTTACTGCATATTGATTTTTCATTTTACATGTGGTTATCTTAACATTTCTTCAGAGCTTGGGCCAACAGCACTTACCCAACCTTATCACTTTTCTCCCAGGCAAATGACCTTGCTTTGCTCATGTGTGGTCTAACTGTTTGGGTTGCAACCATAAGTGAATATAATTTCATTGTTTCTAAAGTTGTCATGATAGCAGTGTGCCCTTTTCAAAGAAGGGATTGCTACTGATGACAGACATATGGATTAGCAAATTCGACTAAACATGGAAGTGGGATGAATACACTGTAGCAGAGAAAGGAGTGCACAAATGGTTCAGAAATCAAGTCTTTAGATCATTAGTGTGCGTTTTGTTGGAAGCCTAGATAGAATATGGATTACCATGGATTGCAACTTCTAATTTTGGGCCTCTAAGCTATATTTCCAGGCAGAAATTTCAGCAATCTTCTAAGCATTGCCTAGTTTTAACTTCTAATGTGAGATTCCATTGCTAGCCAAGTACTGCACAGGTATTACAATAGTTTACAAGCAGAACAATAAAAGTCATCATGACATTAAAGAATGAAAATTGCTTTTGGGCTATATACAAGCTACTCAAATATTGGCTGTAGAAAGGCTTGTGTCCATGGTTCTCTGCATTATAGCCCCCAGGTGGTGTAAAGCTAAAGGAGTCTCTTCAGATTTTACTCTGCCTAGCCAGTGACTAACAGGGGACAGTGCTTATCTCTGTTTCTAGGGCTGTGAACCAGCACTGTCTGAAGACAATCCTGTGGACATGTGGCCAGCATGACATTACAGAGCACTGTTACCTTCCCACTGAAGTTGTGGGCTAGGAGCTGGGGCAAAAGATGGGAGTTCACTCTGCCTGGAGGAGGCTAGGCTCAAACCACTGGGGTGCCAACCATTTCCTGGATGACAGTTCCAGCATCATTAAGCCGCTGCATCACTGCTTCCCCCCAGAAGATGTACATATCCAAAAAAAGAAAAACTATGAAGATTTCAACAGATGTTAAGATGAGGACACTGAATGTTTTCTTCTAAATGTACACTCCTGTCAATACAGCATGGAAAAACAGGGAAAGGCCTAGGGTCTTGATTTGCCAGCAGCTGTAATAGGAATATGCAATTGACACTGCTTTTCCTTGGTCAGTAAATCAATGCATTGACATTAAAAATGGTTGCGCAGCACAGTAACTGGAGGGGGTAATAAACTGCTGAGTTAGCCATGGAAATGCTACCTGCGTCACAGTCCGTACATACTATAGATCATGGTGGAATAGCATTCAAAAATAATAAATTACTATCTGCAGATGACATCAATCACACTCACAGTTTCAATGATCAAGAAAAATACATTGAGTGTGTTTTGGTCCTTTAAGGCCTTTAAGTGGTCTTAAAACAGGTGGTGAACATTGGGCCTATGGGCCAAATTCAGCCTTCCAGGGCCCCCCAGATGGTCAGGTTCTGTTTCCCTCATCCCAAAGCCTTTTCCCCAGTCATGAAACATGGAAGGTTTTGTGCCACTTTTCCTTGAAAGCCTTTTCTAAGGTCAGTGACTAGCAGTAAGAGTTTTAAGTTAAAATATGCTGATATTTTGGGGGTTTGGCCCTATCTACCACTAGAATGTGGCCCAAGAACTTCTCTGAAATGCAATTCAGCCCTCATGGTGAAATAAATTCAACATACCTGCCTTAAAACAACACCACATCAACTTGTTAGAAAGGATGCAATTGCTCTATTTTGCCAGCAGTATCATTTTTCCCCTTCATGAGGTCCAAGTAATTTGGACTTAATTTGTCTTTAATTAAAACATGGAAGCAAACATTCTCTGTATTCTCAGTCTCAATGTTAATTGAAATTCTGTAAAAGATAAATTCAGTAGAAAGAACTGCCTGCCTTCCAGCACCCTTCTATTTAGAAAACAATTGGATCATCACTGACTAATGCAGTTACAGTCCCCCTCCTAGAAAGGTATTTGGCAACTATAAAATATCATCCTGAGAAAACCAGCAAATCAATACAAACTGATTAACTTGGAGTCCTACACTAAGCAGGGTGTTGGACCCAATGATCTTATTGGCCCTTTCTGATGCTACTATTCTATAATTCTGTGGTTTCCAAATAAATTTATCATTTGCTTAACTACAAATCCTAACTATTTGACTTGAATAAAGGAGTTCACACTCTACCTGAAAGAGAATTTACACAATAAATATCTTTTTCAGATGAACCAACAGAATAGCAGTAGAATTTCATCCCCTCTGGTGAAAAAGATTCTCAACACTGACTTTCCACTATAAGCTAAAATCAGGCTGCCAGTTCTAGCTCCTGTGTGGATATACAAAGCAGAACACAGAGGTAGGCACTTGCTTCAGTAAGGAGAACCACAGCTACAGGGCATTTACTCTAGAAATGCATGATTATTTGCCCTTCCATCCATCCATCCACTTTAAACTAGATCCAATGCCGCAATACAAAAACCCACATGGCCTTCATGTTGCAGAGAGAAGGAAGAGCAATAAACTACTCCAACAATCTATCAAACAAGAACATCATTTTGTTTTGCATCTGCCTACTTAAGCCTAAGTTTTGCCTTGTGTAGAAGTACTCTCATTATTTTGTTTTATGATTTAACAATTGCATTAGAGCATTTTATACATTTACACTGCTACTAGCTTTTATCTTGGTTCCTTCTGATTTATATTATGTCTTACTATGATCTTGCACTTATTTTAAGGATTGATTTGTAAACCACTGAAATAGACTTGTAAATGAGTTCCAGCTAACAGGCAAAATAGAAACATAATAATAAATACATTTAGCTCCCGTTATACCCCATTCCATTGAAGCTATCTATTTGCATACATTTGCAATTAAAAGAGCCCCATATAATGTTCTGCCACCAGCTGTAGGAAACATGATGCACACCAGACAGGCTGGACCCCTAGCTCTGAATAGCAACAAATGTGAACAGCTTAGAAATTGTATTACATTATGCAATATATCTATATATGCATTACTGTAACATGAAGAATGTTTGTGGACTGAAGCTCCTTTCCCCAAATAAGATATAAAATGGGTAAAAGAATAGTGTTTAAAGTATTCCTTTAAACAATAGCAAACAGGTAGGTCACTGAAATCCATGAGCTCAACCTCCATTTCACTGAAGAGCTGCAATATAGCTACTCAAAGTTCACGAACGAGAAGTCTCATTAATAATATAGACTTCCCCCATCTCCCTAAAGAGTTCTATAATTGACAATTTCTTGTATGCTTCAGCTTCTAATAGAATTGTGGCTTATTACAATAGTATCAAACAAATGGAAGATACAAAGTTTCAACTGCAGGAACACTGGCCTCACTTCCACAATAGCACCAGAGCAACTTAGTTTGTTCAGTAGATAAAGAGAAGCTGAGGTGCATATATAAGGTAGTGAAAGAGGAAGCTTTTACAAATGTTCTCAGTGTATACTGTAAGGTTTCTGGAAAAGTAAATAGACCCATTCGTGGGGGGGGGGGAGCCCATTATCCAAAGTTTTCTATGCAAATCTATACATGTCTAGTTAGAAGGAATCCCCACTGAGCTCAATGGCCAGTGGCTGTTTGCAAACTGACTGAATGTGGTTCATAGTTCAATGTGTAACAATATCTATAAAGCCAGAACTCATGGAAACTGTGTGTATGTATGACATAAACAAGAAACACAGAAGCTTTTATGTGCACGTGCACTTACAAACTACCATGACTGCTAAATCACAACTTGTACTTTACAAGGAGGTTCTCTTGCCTCTCCTGTAGAAGAAATGCACATGTCAGGCTCTTGCCAATGACTCAAATGGCTGGCATCTCTAGGGTATTCTGGACACTGTGGGCACTCATGCAGGTGCACACAGAAAGAAGAAGGAGGGATATTTTAACAGAGGCAAACTGACTGCTTC